TCATATTGACCTGCCGTTTTCCTAGTTACAGCGTGCCTATTTCTGTAAAAATTTCTGAACAGCAAATGCTAGATAAGTTATGTATTTCCTGTGACTTTCTTTTTTCAAAAGTAGAATCCTAAAATCTTTCTTGGAGGAGCCTGTAGTCCTATTCCAACTGCTCCACTGCTCCTGACGGTCCACGAGTCCCAACCAGGAGCTTACCTGGCTCCTGGCAAAGAGCCTCCAGATGTGGACACTTCTTTCTCAGGTGTTGGCTAAAGTCCATCCTTGTTTTTCCACCCATGAGTGCTGTGGAGCTGTGAGGCCATATAGAGCCCATCTAACCCTTTTAGAATAAGACATGGAGATAGGGCAGCTATCGCCTCAACAGTATCAACAAACATTTTAAATTGTTTTTTTTTGTAAGTATCCAAATTATTAATTTGTTAACTACTGTTAAACACTATTACTGATAAGCCTTTGTTATAAGCACCCTTTTCAAAGGTGCTTTGGCTTTGGATCGACAGAAGACCACCAAGGCCAGAGGGTCTTCAGCTTGACAGAAGACCTGTGATCACACATTTAAAATCTTTAAGTAAGATCTTTTACCTAACATAACTGTCCAAATGCATATACTGATCTTGAACTCATGGTGCAAGTATTCAGGAAAGTTGTGCATCAGCTCCTATTTGGCTGAACATTGTTTTTCGTTGCCTCTTTCTCATGCTTACAACTTCCCATCTTTTATACTTCTGGGTTAGCATTTCACATCTTTGCATGTATAAGCCTCAGTACAAGGATAAGCAGCTGAGAGAGAAGTTCACTCTGTGAACAGAAGATTTCTGGAACCACCATTGTTGAGACAGTTTCTGCAGTTTAATTAGTAAACTTAGTAGTCAGGGAACTGAGAAGCGGCGTAGAGCACAGTAAAGTATGGAGTCCAAAGCAAGGCTGTTGGGTCTAAATCCCAGCCTTAGTGCTCACTGGTTGTGTGACCTTGGGCCCATTGAGAAGTTCCCGGCTCCTGGGTTTCTATGGCCTTCTCTTGGTCTGTTCTTAGGTTCTGGGCCTGCTGGGCCACAGTACTGTCTCTGTATGCACAGTGAGCAGATTGCTTTCTCTTGACTTCTGTGAGCCAGTGGCTGTCCTCTTTGCTGTCACCCCGGTGCGAAGGTGTTAGGGGCTGGGGCCTCTGGGAGGGCATTGGGTCATGAGGATAGATCTCCCATGAACGTGCTCTTAGGAGAGGCCTCTAAGAGCTTCTCACCCCTTGCCCCTTCTACCGTGGGAAGTCACAGAGAGAACAATGCCACCTGTGAACTTGGAAGTGAACCCTCACCAGACATTCATCGTGCAGGCACCTTGATCTTCTACCTTCTAGAACTGTGAGAAATAAACATCTGTTGTTGATGAGCCACCCAGCTCATGGTGTTTTGTTATAGCAGCCAGAACAGACTAAGACTCAAGTTTGATGACATATCATCTATTATGCTTAGTTACCCTTTGATCCCCCACCTTTGAGCAAACAGAAAGAGCTTTACATAGCATAATTCGTGCGTGAATATGGACTTGTAAAACCTTGCCAAATGCAGCAGTTAACTCAGGAGTAGTGAAGACTGTTGGTTCTTTGACTGCATGTAACAGGAAGTGCAGCACAACTGGCAAAGTTTTGGGAAAGCCAAGTGGTTCTGATGATCATACCCTAGGGCTCTGCTTCCCTTTCTGGGGATTCTTGGAGCTGTGCCTTGCTACACACAGCTCCTCAAAGTGTGTTGTACACTTGCAACACACTGAGAGGTAGTGCCCATTCCTCTGCAGGGAACAGCTGCTTCACGCCATTTCCCTTACTGTCCCTTCACATTTGGGGACCCATATGACTGCCCTTCAGTCAGGTGCTGCCATGCTTAGGAGGGGCTTAGGCCAAAGTGGTCTCCATATACCCCTGCAGTACACTCATTGGTCAGGGCCAGTGTGCACTCCTTGACCAAGGCCTCTATCTTCACATCTCTCTAGTTGTCCGTGAGCACTGATAGCATAGGTGGCTATGCACAGGTAGAGAAATTTGTGTTCATGGGACTATGTTTTGAATTTCTTGGATACAAGTTTTTTGGATAAGTCCTCACCAAGGAAGGAAGGAAGGAGAGGAGAGAGGGAGGGAAGGAGGGAGGGCAGGGGAAGGGGAGGATGGAGAGAGAAGAAAGGAAGGAAGGGAGGGAAGGAAGGAAGAAAAGGAAGGAAGGAAGGAAGGAAAGAAAAAGAAAGAAATGGTATGAGTTGACTCTTTTAATACCCTAGAAGTCAAGAAAATAGACTCAGGTTTTCTGAACAGGATTCTCTGTTGGTAGCTTTCTTACGCTCCTGGTCCCGGCTGGTTTGCACAGGCCTCTGCTGCTTGGGGGAAGTTGCTGTCACAGCCAGGTCTCAGCTCTAGAGGCTTTCTCTTTAGCCCGTGGGCTATTTCAGGAAGCTACCAAAAATGTGCTGCTAATTTAATAACTTACCTTGTGAGCTGAGATTTGAGTTCTCTTGGGGTTTTATACTTCAGCTTTCTCCTGTCCTTCATGCAACTGTTATCGTACCCCATTGTCAAAAGCATCTCTCATTTTCATAGTACTTTATATAAATATTTAAGAATAAAATAATTAATAATAGCTATGTATTCTGAAAAATTATAGTGCTTTTTCTTCATATTCTTTACTGCAGAGCTTCAATGGGTTTGGAGAATTTGGCCTTTCCATCAAAATCAGGGGCACCAGGGCTGCCATAGCAGAAGGCCACAGCCTGGATGGCTTTGCAGAAATCTGTTTTCTCCCAGTTCTTGAGGCTAAAAGTGCAAATCAAAGTGTTGGCAGGCTGGGCTTCTTCTGAGCCCTCACTCCTTAGCTTGTTAAGTGTCCTGCTTCTTTCTGTGTCTTGGCTCTACGTCAGATTGGATCAGGGCCTTCCTTAAAGACCTCATTTTAACTTAATCATCTTATCAACTTCAAAGGACTTATCTTCAAATACAGTTATATTCTGAGGTACTGGGGGTTAGGATTTCAACATATGGATTTTGGGGGAACACAGCTGGGCCCTAACAGGAACTGGGGCCACCATGGTCCCCTAGTGTGTCAGATGACATCTTTGCTCCTGGCAGATTGAGCTATAACCTTTTAGATTAGGACAGGTTAAAGGTTAGTCATGATAGAACATAAGAATTGCTACTTCTAGTCTACCTGGACATAGACCTCTGGGCAGCAGGGTTTCCTACGGGAGACCAGCTTAGGGACGGTAGCTTATTCTTTACTCTGTGTGCTGTTGCTTGAGACTGCATTGCAACGACTAAGTGTGGTGTGTGTGTGGTGGGGGGAGTAGTTGTGTAGAAAACCAAGTGAAAGAGAAGAAAGCTTCCATGAAGTTGACTTAACTTCTACTTGGTGAGGAGGAATGATTTTTACATAGTAATCTTGAAACCTTTCAAAGCGGCAACAGAAATTGGCCATCAAAGATAAGCAACTTGTAGCTAACAGAAGGTTTTTGTTTTTGTTTTTCTTGCTTTGGTGGGGATTGAACGCAGGGTCTCTCACAGGCCAGTGCTCTACCACTGAGCTATACCTCCAGCCCTCAAGATTGTCTTATTTTATTGATTTCTTTAAATTTTTTCTTTTTTCTGGCAGTACTGGGGTTTGAACTTTAGGCCCCACGCTTGCTAGGCAGGTTCTCTACTACTTGAGCCACTCCAGCAGCCCTGTAATTTTATTGATTTCCAAGATGATTATCAAATAAATGAGCATGAGAAAAGTGATACTTTAAAAACAAAAATTGTTTTTATCTTCACAAAAATCTGGTAATAGCAGCCCTTTGACTACTGTTGTCAGGCCTCGTTTGGACTTGTGTGTGGGCACTGACTTACTTACTTTCAGCCTGGCTCTGTTGGGGAGCTGCTCTTAACCCCTTCATATCTGGTTTCTGAAGCACAGGAAAGGTGAGTGATCCCTGAGCTCAGTCACCTGGCTCAGCAGTGGAGCTGACCAGGCAGTTAGGTTCCTAATGCCACCCCTGATGCCACAGGAATGTGATTTTTCTCCCCAGTAGCTTGATATTGCTACATGATTTGGGGGAGGGTTTTTTTTTTTTAGGCTTATGATAGCAAAATAAGCAACTGTGTTAATGGTCCACATCAATTCCCAATGACTTCTTTAGGATCAATATAGAAGCAATTAGGAAAACGGTTTTCCATAAAGAGGGTCCTCTGAGTATAACAATTTTAGTCATCTATATTAAAAGGTTCTTTCTTAGTTTAAGTAAAATATGGTTGTGTTATCATTTCAAGAGAACTAAGTGGATTTTCAGTTCTGTTAAAGCTAAGAGCTGAATGACAAACTGAGTGTGCAGTGTGTGATGTCACACACACCCGGGTTGTAACCAGGACTGCTTGGATAGGCTTTTTTGCTCTACACAGTCACTTTGCTAACCTCACTGAGGTCAGGTGGCCACAGTTAAACCTCCCACGATGAGCTGGGGTTGTGTTTGTGTTTCCTCCCAGGAGTTCTGGGGAGAATGAAATGAAAGGATGTCTGGTAGGTACCTTGGGTGCCTTGCACATGGGGAGTGCTGTGCATTTTAGCTCCTGCTGGCATTGGATGAACACTGAGTTAATTTGGGGGAAGAATCATGCTCATGTTCCAGGTTTCCTGACCTGTGTGGTTTTCTGTTCTTCAGTTTTAGAAAGCAGGACTGTAGATCACAGGAGGCTGGGGGCTGAGCTGGCTCCAGTGCTCCCTGGCTTCTAGGCTTGTCTTCTATGGAAAGCTGCAGCTACTTCGTGGAGGTGTGTGAGGGTTAAGTTCAGCTACATACATCAAGTGCTGCATTTTTTTGAAATTAGTCATTTAGAGACACCAACAATCTTGCTTTATGATGTCATTTCACTAAATATAAAATTAACTGAAAATACGAACTTCACAAACTTTAGAACCTGTTTTGCCAATATTCATCTTGCAGTGCCATAACTGGATTTCTCTTTACTCCCCATGTAGGTGCTGGAGATCACAATTTATTTACCTCTGTTTATCCAACACTCTCCCAGCAGCTTCCAAGAGAACCGATGGAATGGAGAAGGTACGGTGTCTTTGTGTTTGCTGTAACTTCCTCTTCAGTTTTTAGGTGTTTATGTGAGCAAGTGAAGTAATACAAGCTAATGCCTGTGTTCTAAAGTATACTTCAAGAACAGAGTGGCCTCATATAATCTGTGAGTCTTAGTCTCTAAAATGATTTTCTTTTCTTTATTTTCTTTTAATGGTGCTGGGGATGAAACTCAGGGCCTCGTGCATACTATGCAAGCACTTGCCACTGAGCCACACCCAACTTTGGGACCTTCCCTCCCTCCTTCCTCCATCCCTCTCTTCCTTCCATTTTTCTCTTTCATTCCTCCCCCTACCTGTCTCTCTTTCTACCTCCCTTCCCTGCCTCCCTCCCTCTCTCCTGCTATGTAGCCCACACTGGACTCAAAACTTTGGATCCTCCTGGCTGAGTGCTAGAACTACAGGTATGAGCCATCATACTTGGTTCCAGAATGGTTTTGTTGATGAGACATTGGCTGACACCTGTTTTTTGTATGAATGACATATGATTCTTCCTGGCTAATAGTGTTTTAAAGATACAAGTACTTTGTAAAGGAGACATGTACCTGCATATTGACTTGGGCTGTATCTACTGTTTTATAAGAGCCTCTCTCTGTCTGCACTCCTGTATGCTTTTCTTAAGGATGAGAAGCTACAGAGAGAGAGATGTTACTTAGTAATTAGAAGAGAAGCCAGGTCAAAGTCAGGCCAACCACCCCTACAGTGGTCCTATTTGTGTGTTGTGGGTCATCTAGTAACTTGTCCAGAGGAAATCGTTGACTGAGAGTTTTTTTCTGGCAAGATGGGATAATATTTGAGAAAAAATGTTTGGATTTTGACTTGTCAGTATAGGTAACCTGATTTTAATGAAGGTGTATGCAGTTTCCCATTGTTATGCATGTCCATGTGATTCACCTTCCAAACGTGAAGAACTAGTGTGGTCCCTGGGGATGACTTATCCAGGCTCTCTAGTGAATGTAGTCTATTGCTGTGCCTAATTATAGTGTCTTACAAGGTATGCATTTAGTGACTAATATTTAATATAAAGAGTACAGAATGTGAAAGATGTTCTTTGAGAAAAATTGTTCAACACACGAGGAGGCCCAATGCTGTTAAGGAGAAAAAAACAGTTCAGCAAATGGAAGAATTTAATATCTGAAGAAATGGAGTAATCTGTGAAGAATTTCAAATAAGTATATATTCTTAAACATTCAAAAAGATACAAGAAACAAAGTATGTTCGTGAAACAAGAATGAATGAGAGAAAAAAGAAATAGAGAAGCTACATTGATTTAATATATGTATTCATTTCTTCATGTCCTGAAAGCCCACCAAGCAAGAGTAGAGACTTCGGTGGTATAAATGCAGAGGGACAGTGCTGTGGCTTGTATTTTACTGCTGTAACAGAATATCACAGACCAGGTCATTTGTAATGAACCAAAATTTATTTGACCCATGGTTGTGGAAGCTGAGAGGTCTAAGACTGAGGGGTGGCATTTAATAACATAATGAGTGGAGAGAGGAGGGTGAAGTCTTCTGATCAGCCCATCATGACAGGAAGCTGCTCCTGGGATAATTGCATGAATCTATTCATGGGGCAGGGCCCTCATGCCCTGATCACCTCTTAGAGGTCCTATGTGTTAACACCGTTGCATTGTGGAATAAATTTCCAATGCATGAACTTTGAGGGTTATATCCAAACCATAACAAACAGAGTGGGGGGAGGGGACAGTAGCAGCTGAGGATTGTGGACTTACTTTGGGGAGAAGGAAGACAGATGGAGAAATTGGGAAAGAAACACCAAGAAAGTGGAACCCATCTTCATGTGAGCAGGTGAGTCCATGACAAGTGACAAAGTACAGGACCTGGTTGGGAAATGGTGTTAGAAGAGATGTGGACAAGATGCAGTGAGACCCAGGAGCTCACTCCCTCTGTGCAGTGAGTGATGGCTTTTGCCCACCTTTGCAGGAGCCTGGAAGGTCCTTCTGTGCACAGAGAAGCTCAGATATGAAGCAATGCAGGAGGCTCGGAAAAGGGCTATGGAGACCCAGGAAGTCTGCAGACAGACTTCCCAATTCATTTCAGGAAAATGGGGCTTCCCCAGGGAGAGATTACCATTTCTCTTCTAGAGAAGAGATTTAGGAAAGAGAACGTACTGTCTCAGGAGAGAGATGTCCCCCCGAAACCTCAGAATGGGATTTGATTTGGATGAGGGTCTTTGCAGGTGTAAGTAAGATAAGGCTTTCACTGTGAGGTCAGCCTGGATTAAGGTGGACCTGAAATCTACAAGAAGTGTCCTTACAAGACCCAAAGGGAGATGGAGGCAGAAATTAAAAGGGTGTTGCCACAAGTCAAGGAATGCCAGGGCTTGGCAGCAGCCACCAGAAGCTGAGAGAGGGCGAGGATCCTCTCACAGAGCTTCCAACCCTGAGAACACCTTGATTTTGGATTTCTGGCCTGAAGTGTGAGACAGTGAACTCATATTTTAAACCCCCAGGGCTATGGTAATTTACTATATAACAGTTTTAGAAAACTCAGACAGGAAGAGTCGGGAAAAGAAGAGTGGCAGCTGATGTTGTAGATGTGCATGTCAAGTTTTTCTGCAGTGCCTGCTTTGACCTGGCTTCTCTTATTTTTTTCTTCTAATTTTTAAGTGCACATTACTTTGATAAAATGTAAAAGTAATTGATTTTGGAAATGAAAATTGAAACTGTCAGGTGCACAGAATAGCTGTGTGGCTTAAGAGCAAACAGGTGAGTTGGAAGACTGAGCTTAAAGGCTCTGGAAAAGAGTGGAAGGTGGTGGGCAGAAGAGGAAAGCTGAGACTGGAAGGTATACCCCAGTCCCAGTGCCTTTCCAGTGGGTGAGTTCAGGACAAAGAAGGGAGGTTTGCAAAACCAGTGCCAGGAGTTTCCCTGAAGTAGACCATGGTACTGCAGGTGTCATGAAGATGGAGAGAAAACAAACACCAAATGTGCAGTCTCCAATATTGAAACTCAGTGTAAAATATAACTTTTAATCCCAGTCTTCTCAAAAGGGAACATGCCCTTGCTCCTAGAATTCTGTGTTATTCATACTGTTGTGCGAGAGGCAGGACTAGGTCAGGGTCTTTCCCACAGGCCTTGACCAAGACACTGTTGAGGGCCTTACACTCCTTGGCCTTGGGGTGGCCGTTTGACGAATGGTTTTCAGTGTGGTAAAGGGAAATGTTTTCAGACTTTCATGATCAGAAACTGTATCCTGTCTGGGGTAAGTAAAGAATGTGCCTCAACAAAGCACATTAACTTTAGTCTTTGAATAGAAAACTTGAGTTTAACCTTGGATGACATGGATTAGTTTGTAGGATATTTAAAGTAAAAATCAGTAGCAGAATAGCAGAGCAAAAGAATGAAAAAATGAATATTTGACTGATCTCACAAAGGACAGGAAAAATAACTTGCAAATAGAAAGTACCTAAGTTCAAATATAAGCATAATTATGGTAAATGTGGGTAGTTTTGACTTATTAAACACAGAGCACCCTTAGATTGGGATTTGTAAAAAACCCAGCTATGGATGTTCAAATAAGAGACATAGCTGCTGGGGGTGGGAAAGGATATGTATATCATTGTTTTTTTTGTTTGTTTGTTTGTTTGACAGTGCTAGGGATTGAACTCAGGGTTTTGTGGTTCAGGCAGGCACTCTACCACTTGAATCATACCCCCTTTGCTTTCTATGGTTTTCTTTTGCCTTTTTTTTTTTTCCGCTCAGATAGCATCTTACATTTTTGCCTGGGCTGGCCTTAGACCACAGCCCTCTTACCCTGAGTAGCTGGGATTATAAGCATTCACTATCATGCCTGTCTATGGTTTGTTTTTTAGGGTATAGAAATTAGCATGATCTCCTTTCAGCCTTAGATGAGATGTGTGTGGCTTGGGGGTCACTGCTTTCTTGGGTTGAGCTCTGTTAACAAAAACCTGTTGTTTTTCACCAAATAATAATGATACTTGCATAATACAGATTGTTCCAGAAACATGAGTGCCCTTTAATACCTTAACGCTGCCCTTTGATGTGTGGGACTCTCATCTCTTCTAGAGTGACTTTCAGGCTGGGTTATTTCAAGTAAAACTTCTTGGAAGTTGATGGTGGCCTTGGGCAGGGTGGACACTTGCATGAGTGCATTATTATGCATGTGTTTTGGAGTGAAACAGAAGGGGTTTTATGTGTGTATGTGTACGTATGTGCAAAACAGGCACTGTACCTCTTGAGCCACACCTCCAGTCCATTTCACTCTGGTTGTTTTGGAGATGGCATACTCATTAACTGTTTCCCTGGGCTGGCCTCAAACCTCTATCCTCCTGATCTCGCTCTTCCAAGTAGCTAGGATTACAGGTATGTGCCAGCAGCGCCTGGGTGAAACAGAAGGTTTTATGGAGAGGAAGCATTAACGTGAGAGTGTGAGCCATGTTCAAAATAATTCACTTAAATTTTTGGACTGATTATTATGGTTGTAATTCATGGTTAATATTCCATATGCTTCTGAATTTATAAATAGGATTAAATTAGGTGTTGTCACATACGCCCTACTATTACTGTACCTTGTTGAGTTGTTTTGTCAGTGACTTTTAAAAAAATTTTTTATAGGTCCTATGGCCGGGCTCCAAAGATGATTCACCTAGAATCGAACTTTGTTCAATTCAAAGAGGAGCTGCTGCCCAAGGAGGGAAACAAAGCTCTGCTGACGTTCCCCTTCCTGCACATCTACTGGACGGAGTGCTGCGTGAGTGTTCACTCTGGGGAGAAAGGGAGGGAGGAGGAGTGAAGTTTTGTGGGCCCAGATATCGTTAAGATGAGCATAGGTTTTTAGATTGGCTTTCGACTATGCTTTTGTGGATGTTCTCATGTCCATCGCTCAGCCAAATGTGTGGCTTTGTCCTTGTGTTTCTCTTCATTCATGGGGATCCCTCAGTACGTCTTAGTTCCTGTCTTGTGAGCCATCTCACTGTGCCTTGGTGGCCACCGGGTTTGATCAGCTTGAACTGTGTTTCATCCTGTGTTTTCCTGACGCCTTTTTTTCTCATCCTAGTACTTGCTGGCCCTGGAGGTCTGTGTGGACAGTGTGTGGATGGCATCCTCCTCCTCCTTCTCTGTCCCCATGCCTCTGCAGAAAGCACTCCAGAGCCCAATTGCTGGGTGGTGGAGCCTTCCCTTGGGTTTTGCAGCTGTATTTTCATGATCTCAGTTGCTTCCTGTTCCGATTAGTAAAGAAGTATTTAGCGATATACAGAGCACACAGGTAGATCACCACCCTAGGACAGTTTAGTTATATACGAGGCTGCAGAGGTACTTTTTTGTGGCTGTAACAAGACAGGACTCTGGAAGCCTGGGCCTGGCCCCCACACTTTCCTGTGTACTGTTTCCCAAGGGAGTCTCATGGGAGTGGTGAAGAGTTTGGGAGCTTGTATGAGCTTCTGTGGTACAAGGCAGTAAAGCTCAGGGTTTTTATTGATAATGGTCACATGGGTCCCTCTGCATGGCACCTACCAGAACTCCAGGAGAGAGAACGGTATTTTGTGTAAACCACACATATACGCAGTAGAGGCCCAAGTTGGTCCTCTCACCACAGGCTGGTGAGAATCTCCCACCATGCAGCGGGGGCTGTGTCACAGTTAGACACTGTGTGGCCTGCTATGTGGACTCCTCTCTCCACGGCCCGTGTCCACAGTGTCAGGAATATGAGTATAGACAATATCAGGCAGGCAGTGAAATGTCATCTACATAGTGTGTATTACTTAAGAAGATTTACATATATGAAGATAATAACTAATTTTCTTCTGTGTGTGCTTTCAAGAATTTTATAACTCATGGCTTATATTTGGTTTGATAGCTTCATTTATTTTTCTGTGGGTAGGAGCCATGGTGTTGAGGGTCTTAGAGGGTCTAATTTTTCTGTCTCAGTGTGTAGCACAGTAGCCTAACACCATTTCAAAATAGTCTATCTTTTTCCTACTTATCAGAAATGTCAGCCTTATTTTAACCAATGTACTGTAAGCATAATATTACGGATACTTGTGTTCTATTTATCATTCTCAAAATCAGTCTTTTAATGCTTACTTTTTTTTGGGTTTTTTGGCAGTTCTGGATTTTGAACTTAGGGCCTCATGTTTGCTAAGCAGGCATTCTTACTGTTGAGCCACTCCACCAGCCTCATGTTGGATATTTTTGAGATAGGGTCCTACAAGTTATTTGCCCAGGCTGACTTCAAACCTTGATCCTCCTGACCTCTGCCTTTGGAGTAGCTGGGATTAAGCCTTGTGTTATTGTTGTCCTAGAATAACACAAATCCTAGGGTCTTAACTTCACAATACATTGTTACTAATTTCTGCTTACTAATTTCTATAAACAGAGATTAAAAATAAGGACAGCTGTGTCAACTTTACCCTCACAGGTCTGTTTCCATTGCTGCTGTACTGTGCATAGGTGCAGGTTTTCATTGATGTTAATTTCCTTCTGACTGAGATTTCTTTAGTTTGTCACATTTCAGGTCAGTTTTTATATATATGAGGAAGTCTTTATTTTGCCTCCACTGTTAAGGAACATTTTCACAGCATAGGGAGTTCTAGTTTGACAGTTGTTTTTTCATAGAGCTGTAAAGTTGTTGCTCCACTGAATTTTGAGCTCCATGTTGCCAATGAGAAATCTCATTTTTGTTTCTGTGTTAGTTTGTATATACAGTATCTTTTTTTGTCCTTTACCACTGGTTTTTGACAGTTTATGACCTGCATTGGAATATGTTTCATACTTACTGTGCTTGGGATATTAGAGCTTTCTGGACTTATAACTTTGATCAAATTTAGAAAGCTTTTGGTTATCATTTCTTCAGGTATTTTTTTCTGTTCCTCCCTCTTTTCCTTTCAGATATGGAGATGGAGACAGATGTCAGACCTCTGACACCCCAGGTCATCCCCCAAATGCTGAACGCTATTACTTACAGTCATTGATGTTTTTTTCAGGCCTTTTTCCTCTCTGTTTCATTGGGTAATTTTTTGTGCTTGTCTTACTGCTAACTCAGTTTCTTCTGCATTGTCTGAGCAGTCCAGTTCTACTTGATGTATTTTTCATTCAGATGTGGTAGTTTTTATTCCCAGCAGTTCCACGTGAGTCTTTTGTTTCCTCTTCTGTCTTCAGTCCTACTTCCTTCTACATGGGAGATGTGTTCCAATGGTTTTATCTGCTAATTTTGCCCTCTGTGTTATTCTGGGACCTGTCACTGTTGGTTGATTTTCTTACTTGCTATGGATTGTATATTCTTACTTTTTTGTCTGCCTGCCAGTCATGGTATTTGGATGGCAAATACTGTGAATTTTATTTTGCTCCATGGTAGCAAGATTCCTCTAGGTTTGTTTTTGAGTCTTGTTCAGTTGAAGTCACTTAACTTTGGTTTTTTGGGTGTAGTTTCCATTATTTGATGGGTCTGGAGCAAGGATAAGTCTGGAACGAATTATTCCTCACTACTGTGGCAAGACTGTCCTTCCTTCTCTGGTTTTTGCTAAGCCCTGTCCCAGCCCTGTGTGAGTGCCAGGCATTGGACCTGACTGGTGGTTTTGTCCCGCTTTGGGTACTTCTCATGTGTGCTTGCTGACAGTCCCTGGGAAGAACCAAGAGCCTTTGTGAGCCTCTAGGACTCTCAGTGCTGTGCTTTCCTCTCCCACATTTGGCCTGGGTGGTCTTGTCACGTGGAGCTCCCTGTACCTCAAGCTGTGTGTTCTTCATGTGGGGAGTCTGCTAGCCATCTCCTCTGCTCCCCTCCCTATACTGAGGCTGGAGATGCCCACAACACCCAGCACGGGCACTGGGAGGGCCCTTGCCTGTTTCCCATGTCTGAGGGGCATCATTGTCCTTCCTTGCCTGGGTCTAGGGTATTGAAAGCTATTGATGTATTCTGTTTCTTTGTTCTTGTTTTTGTTGTGGTAAAGATGGCCCCTGTTACTCAAAGTGGCTAGAAGCAGTGCTCCCAACCTGTTGATTGATGCTGTTTGCACTCAAGTTTCCTAGTTTGCAGTGGAGTGTAATCTGTTACTGTCTTTATTTTGATACTCAGATGGTTCCCAACTTGGCTTCTGTGATGTTTTGAAATGTGCTTATTCTCCGAGCACTTCCAGACATAGACATCACTGGCTTATCTTGTCCTCCCCTTATCCCAGCCCTGGGCTCAGCTGTTCTCCAAGGAGCCCTGAGTCCTTTCCATGGGAAATAATGTTGAGAAGCCAGGATCTGGAGTGAGGTGTGCTCTGTGCTAGGAAGTGCTTATCAGCCATAGCTGGAGAGCATGTGCACATGGCACATGCACACACTCATATACGCCGACGTCCATCCACACACATGTGCTCCTGTTCCCACCAGCTCTACAGGCTAGTTTTAGCTTTCTCTTTCCATAGCTGTAACTCCTATCTCTGACAGGGAGAAGCCGTTTCTCTTGCCTTTGCTTATTGAGTAACCCTTGGGGGTAACCCTCTCCTGCCTCTGTCCTTCTGCACCTACAGGTGATGCCCCAGCCCTGTACTTGGCTGCTCTCTACTGGACTATGTCCTACTGGCACATATAACTCCTCACCTTACTTGATCTGTGGTCATCCTCAGCAGGAATGCCTTATTTGCCTGACTTGACTTCTGACCCTCTGCACCAGCCCCTTAAACCCTTCGTCCCACAATTTGCACTGTCCCCCTTTCTCCTACTGCCTGGACCTCCTTCTCACATGGCTGAGCTCTGGGACTCAGGGAGGCCTCACCCACATGGATGTCCCTGGGCCCCTTGCAGGCCTTGGTGGCCAGCTGCCACCCCATCCTCTGTGGTCCCAATGTGGTGCCTCTCTCTGCCCTGGGTTCCTGTGTGTGCCTTATTTTCTTGGACATTTCACCTACCTGGCTCAACTTGGTCTCTTTAAGGCCCTAAGTAGCTTTGGTCATGTTCCTTTGTTTATTCATGGGGATGAGTGGTGATGAGTGGGGGCTGTGCAAGGTCGGCAGATTTTCCTGGGGATTGTTTGGGATGACTTTATTCTCCTTTGTCCTTCCCTCTGCTCCAGAAGGGCTCCTCTGGAGAGTCCTTGTAAACTGGTTGCCCAGAGCCATTCTGTGAAGTCCTCTTAGGTTATGGCAGCCTCTCCCAAGGTGGAGAGCCTTTGTTTGGGACTCTATGGGGCAGGGTAGCTCAGGGAAGGTGACGGTGGTGCTGTAGTGAGCCAAGTGAGGGTGGTCTGCCCCAGCACCTGGGGCTGCTCGTCTGCCTCTGTGGTCGGGGAGCGGGGTGGAGTGGTGTGGTGCAGGCTCAGGCTGTTGGTGCCTCTGGCCTGATGCATTTGGGGCTTTTGGAGCTCCTCCAGCATACCAGCACTATAAAAATCCCATGATACCCTTTAAGGGGCAGTGTGGAGCGTATGCGTGCATTAGTGCTTTGTGCTCATTCATGGAGAATTGATTTCTACAAGATGGCTGTCCTCAGTTTTTAAGTAAATGATCATTTTAAGTTGTATTTGTTTCTCATTTCATCTGGGACATGGTTTTTAAAATCTGGATAATAATGCCTTTTTGAACTTTTTACTTAGTTATTTTAACCAAAAGTGGGACTCAATGCAAAATTTAAGGTTTAGTTCATGGATCACATTAGCACATATCTGCACAAGTGTTATGTAAGAGTGACTAAAAATCCAAAGAACATAGGCAGGACAGTAAGGAGGAGCTACAGAAGAGGACAAAGTATATACTAAAGAGAAACTATTGAACATTGATGCAAAAATCCTCAATAAAATAATGGCAAACCAAATCCAACAACGTATCAGAAAGATCATTCACCATGACCAAGTTGGGCTTCATCCCAGGGATGCAGGGGTGGTTCAACATACACAAATCAGTAAGTGTAATACAGCACATAGAAGCAAAGACAAAAACCACTTGATCGTCTCAATAGATGCAGAAAAAGCCTTCGACAAGATCCAACACACCTTCATGATAAAAGCTCTAAGAAAACTAGGAATAGAAGAAATGTACCTCAACATTATAAAGGCTATATGTGACAAACCTATAGCCAACATCATACTTAATGGAAAACTGAAACTATTTCCCCTAAAATCAGGAACGAGACAAGGGTGCCCACTCTCCCCACTCCTATTCAATGTAGTCCTGGAATTCCTAGCCAGAGCAATAAGGCAAGAAGGAGAAATAAAAGGAATGCAAATAGGTAAAGAAACTGTCAAAGTATCCCTATTTGCAAGTGATATCATCCCATACCTCAAACACCCAAAAAACTCTACCCAAAATCTCCTAGACACCATTAACAGCTTCAGCAATGTGGCAGGATACAAAATCAACTTACAAAAACCATTAGCTTTTCTATACACCAACAATGAACAAATCGAGAAAGAATATAGGAAAACAAATCCATTTACAATAGCCTCAGAAAAAATCAAATACCTAGGAGTAAACTTATCAAAGGATGTGAATGACCTCTACAAGGAGAACTACAAATCCCTGAAGAAAGAGATCGAGGAAGACTACAGAAGATGGAAAGATCTCCTGTGCTCATGGATTGGCAGAATCAACATATTAAAAATGGCTATACTACCAAAAGCAATCTACATGTTTAACACAATTCCCATCAAAATCTCAATGACATTCATCACAGAGATTTAAAAATCTACCCTAAAGTTCATTTGGAAACACAGGAGACCACGAATAGCCAAGGCAACACTCAGCAAAAAGAGCAATGCTGGAGGTATCACAATACCTGACTTCATACTGTGTTACTAAGCAATAGCAATAAAAACAGCATGGGACTGGCACAAAAACAGATATGAAGACCAGTGGAACAGAGTAGAAGACCCGGATATGAATCCACACAGCTATGTCCACCTTACTTTTGACAAAGGTACCAAAAACATAAGATGGAGATTAGACAGCCTCTTCAACAAATATTGCTGGGAAAAGTGGCTATCTGCCTGCAGAAAACTGAAAGTAGATCCATGCCTATCACCCTGTACTAGTATCAACTCAAAGTGGATCAAGGACCTTAATATCAGAACCGAAACTCTGAAGTTGGTACAGGAAGGAGCAGGAAACACTCTGGAAATGATAGGCATAGCCAAGGGCTTCCTCAATAGAACCCCAGCAGCTCAGCAACTAAGAGAAAGGATGGACAAATGGTACTTCATAAAGCTAAAAAGCTTCTGCTCAACAAAAGAAATGGTCTCTAAACTGAAGAGACCACCCACAGAGTGGGAGAAAATGTTTGCCAGCTATTCATCAGACAGAGGACTGATAACCACAATATACAGGGAGCTCAAAAAACCAAACTCTCCCAAAAATAATGAACAAATAAAGAAATAGGCAACTGAACTAAACAGAACTTTCTCAAAAGAAGAAATTCAGATGACCACAAAACACATGAAAAAATATTCGCCATCTCTAGCCATAAAGGAAATGCAAATCAAAACCACACTAAGATTCCACCTCATTCCTGTCAGAATAGCTATAATCAAAAACACCACCACCAACAAATGTTGGCGAGGATGCGGGGAAAAAGGAACCTTCCGTACACTGCTGGTGGGAATGCACGCTAGTACAAACACTCTGGAAACCAATATGGAGGCGTCTTAAAAAAAACTAAGCATAGACCTGCCATATGATCCAGCAATCCCACTCCTAGGGATCTACCTGAAGGAATGTGATTCGGGTTATTCCAAAGGCACCTGCACACCCATGTTTATTGCAGCGCTTTCCACAATAGCCAAGCTATGGAAACAGCTAAGATGCCCCACTACTGACGAATGGATTAAGAAAATGTGGCATTTATACACAATGGAATTTTACTCAGCCATGAAGAAGAACGAAATCTTGTCATTCACAAGTAAGTGGATGGAACCGGAGAACATCACCTTAAGCAAAGTTAGCCAGGCTCAGAAGGCCAAAAATCGTATGTTCTCCCTCATATGTGGACTTTAGACCTAAAACAAATGCAGTAATATTATTGGACATGGGTCACACGCTAAGTGGAGAACACACACAGGAGGAATAGGGAAAGGTAGGAAACCCAAACTTGAAAGTGTTTGATGTGCCCATTGCAAGGAGCTAATACAGTAACCTTAAAAAGACAGAGATCACTATGGGAAGGTGACCGGGAAGTAGTGAAGAGGTCAGGTAGAGATGAACCAATTGGAGTTGTAATACACATGTGTGTGGAAGCAGTGCTAGGAATCTCTCTTTATGGCTATCCTTATCTCAGACTAGCAAAAATGTCATGTCTTTCTTATTGCTTATGTCTTCTCTTCAAAAAAAATTGGAGAAGAGGGCAGAACAGGTTCTGCCTGGGAGAAAGAGGGGTGGGGTGGGAGAGGGAAGAGGTGGAGGGCAAGGGAGAGGAAGTGGTCCAAACAATGTATGCACATATGAATAAATGAATAAACAATAAAAAATAATTTTAAAAAAAGAGAAACTATTGTTTCCAGAGGTTTTTATATGCTTAGTTTTTGAAATGGATTAAGGAGTTCCTCCCCACTCCCTCCCTTCCCTCCTTCCAGTAGGGATGGAAACCAGGGTCTTGTACATTCTAGACTAGTACTCTCCCACTGAGCTACCCCCAGCCCTAATATCTTGGTTTTAGATTTTTTAGACATAAATGGAGTTAATCTGTAGTGTGGACTTTTGATGCAAGAGGGCAATTATAAAGTGACATAAAGTGGCAAGTGTCTGTTTTGCTGGTTCTCAGTGAAAGAGAACTGATTCTGCCCCCCCACCTCCCCGCCGCCACTGGCCTGTATGTAGAAGGGATGCGTTCTCTGGTAGGCTTGTTTAGGACTGTGAGGGAGAGGCAAAGCAGATTTTGAGGGGCAGTGGTGCCCCCTGACTCTGGAAGTTGGAACAGCATTGAGGGAGCTGCAATGGCCGCCTCACCTTGGCTTCCTGTCGGAAACTGCCTTGCCTCTGGCATGGCCTGTGACTGGCATTGAGGTTGGAGCAGGGCAGCCACCGGGAGGCCAGCCTGGCCTCCTACAGGCAGCCTCCCGGGCCTGAGGCTGGCACAGAGCAGTGTGCCAATTGTGTTCCAGTCCTCAGGCACGGAGCCTTGGCCATAGCCCTGCCTTGCTTCACAGACTGTTGCCTGTGTCACCTCCCCCGCTCTTCACTCTCAGTGCTGTGCCAGTGCTTGGAGAGTGAGTGTTGGGGCAGGTACTGATCAGCACTGGTTCAGACTCAGGGTTCCAGTTACTCACCGTGCTCCTGCTTGCCCCCAGGCTGCTCCGCTGTGGTAACGTGCAAGGGCCATGGCCTCTCTGCTATCAGACATTGAGTAACTTGCCTTCATAGTGACTTATTTATTTCTAGGATACCGAAGTATACAAAGCTACAGTAAAAGATGACCTTACCAAGTGGCAAAATGTTCTGAAAGCTCACAGCTCTGTGGACTGGTTAATAGTGGTAGTTGAAAATGATGCCAAGAAAAAAAACAAAACCAACATCCTTCCCCGAACTTCTATTGTGGACAAAATAAGAAATGACTTCTGCAACAAACAGAGTGACAGGTGAGTGTGTCTTTCATTTCCCCCTTTGGCTCATGTCTGGATGGTGCAGGTTGCAGGCTTCTTGGGCCCAATGACCAGTGACTCAGCAGGCATAGGAGCTATGGGGAGTGCCTCTCCCTGGCTTCTGGAACTCCTAGTCTGGCAGGCCAGGGAACCATTAACTGTCATGGTGAACCCTTTTGAAGCCTGGCAGTAAAGAGGTGTTGCAGTGCTCGTGTGGAACAGCACTACTGAAACTTTTTTTTTTTTTAAATAACTGTAGGCCATTGCATTTTCCTTTTTACCATAGCATCTGTGAGAGATCCTAACAGAAAGTTGCAAAATGCTGACTTCATCCCTTCATCACAAGCGCACACTTTCCCAACTGTGCCAGCGCTCACTTCCTGTCTTCAGCAAGTTGTTCCTGGCTGGCTAGCCATGTACTGAGTCCTACAGTGCTGGCGCCTGGGTCTCACAGGGTGGCACATGATTGCACTCAGGCCCTAGGGGGTCAGTGCTGAGCCTGGACCCTGCCCTGGTCATCACATGGCAAGGGCTTGGATGGACAACTCCAGTAATGTGAGAGCCTGCGTCGAGTAGCTCATCTTCTGTGGGAGCTGAGGCACCCTGGGACAGGGATGGACTAGGTCATGCTAGGCACACGGGAGGTAAGGAAGGAACAAGAGAAAACAGCCAGGAGTACCAGCCAGACAGGGCTACACCACTCTTTTATTACATGGCCTTTTCATGTGGCAGTGTCACCCCAATGAAGTGAGTTGTTCAGAAGAGCCTTAGGTGGGAGTCTCTTTCATGTTTCACACAATACTAGACTTGGGGTAATGTTTCAATTGTTTTCTGTATAGTTTGAATCAAATACTAAGTTGAGATTATGGCTTATTTTACAGAAATTTCTTGCAGTCTCAACTTGTGGAATGTTTTCTTAAGGTGTGTAACTCATAAATTAGTTAAGCAGAGGGATCAGTGTGACAGTTAACAAAATGCTACATAACTGACTGTCCTCTCCCTGCTGTGGCTCAGGCCAGCTCACCATTCAGTTCTGAGCACAGCAATCTGCTGTGAAGCCGGGAGGGAGGAGGGCTCTGTCACAGTGTGATGGCCACACAGGTCAGCACCGAGGCAGGGCTAAAAACCAAGATGCAGTTAAAGGTAAATAGTAGTAATGAGGTGGATTAGTCTGAATTTGTGAAGTGTTCCAATGTATGATGACTTTTTCATCATGATGAAAGTGCTTGCTGCTTACTTTTAAGTCTGTGTTTGAAATTCTTTTTAATTGCCACAATTATCTCTCTACTTGAGCCCATTTAAAACTAACTTGCTTTATAATGACTATACTTTTATATTTAAAACTTAGATAATTAAACATTTCATCCTCAATAGGTTAAGCATGTCTTATAACATTTTTATTTTCATTAATTTGCAAAGGTACCTTTTAATAAATCTTGTTATTTTTAATAGAAAAGCTGCCTTAGGTTCTCATGGATTGAGTTTAGTAGTCTGTGCTGACACTTCATGACTACACAGCATCGTTCTAGCCTTGAAAATATTGGCTGTTGCCCTGAAATGCTTCCATCCCTTTTAGCTTTGTGCTTGTGTCTGACTTTTGATTGTGTTGTGCAGTCTTTGCAGAGTTGCAAGAAAAAGGAAATGATCAAAGAGAAAATGAATTTTAAACTGGGAAGTACTTTGTTGCGTGTACTCCTAGACTTTTTTCTCGTGTGTGTTTATTTTAAAGTGATATTGACTGTACATAATGTTTATACTTGCTGTTTTCACTTAGTACATGGTAAAAATTTTCTACAAACAATAAATGCGTCTGTTAATGAGTGCGGGATATTTCCTAGTATTAATGTACCGTAAGTCGTGAATCTAAACCTTTGCAGGGTTGTTAGGTGATAGCTTACTTACAATTATTATAACACCAACATCGTGAACATCTTCCTAGCTCAGATGTGAACACCCTTAGTTATTTTCTTAAGATGAATGCCTTAAAGGGAAGTTGTTTAGTAGCAGGTTTTGTGTATTTTGTAGGCTTTGGCAAATACTAGGGAGTCAGAGGTTGCTTCTGATTGTGCTGGTGATCGTGGCAGTGACCTGCGAAGGTCACACATGGAGCTCCTCACCACATGCCCTGAGCAGCTGCTCTGGCCATGTGGTTCTTGTCCCTGAAGACACTTCTGCTCTCCCTTTCAACCCTGCCCCTGACATCCTTAGCCATTTTGAACTCTCCCTGTCTGAGTGAACCAGGCTTGCCATGAATTTCTTAACTATTCCAGAATAGTTCTTTTTTTAAAACTGAAAAAAAAAGATGCTGACCTAAGTTGAAAGGCCCAATAAGAGATAAAGGAACTAACTGTGCTGAGTGTGGTGGGACTGGTGGGTAAGCACTAGGGTTTGGTGGTTGGTGTGTGTTGGCTTCCATTCCCCTGCCCCCCAGTCTGGTCAGGAGTAATGGTAATGTTGACCATTGTTACCCCTGAGAATGCTGTGAGGGCAAACTCCGGCAGCTCATGAAGTAAGTCCACATCAGGCCTTGGGGACCTTGACTGGCTGGGTTCGGTCTGTCGCTTTCCTGGAGAAATCCGTGTCCAGTGGGTAGAGCTTTTTAGTTTCCTTCTTGGTTCTGACTTGTGGAACATGCACAAGGTGCCACTTCTCTCTTTTGCCCACTGATGTATAATTGTGTGGATGTAGCCATCCCTCTGAAGGGAATGTGCTGGGACACAGAACAGGAAATGGATAATCAGCACATTTGCTATTTGTTGACAGGTAAAGTATCACTAAGAAGACTCAGGGCATACAGATTTTAGAATAGTTTTTTGAGTTCAGGTTTATTCATCTTTCCAAATCACTATGAGCTAAAGATAGCTGCCATTTCTACCTGTTGTGGAATACATGGTCCCTTTCCCAAACCACTAGAACTTTCCTGCCATGTTTTAACTTTGGTACTTTTGTACCATGGGTTCAGTCTCTGTAGTTAAGTTGCATCAGACCTATATGGTACCTTTATTTATCCCTTATTTATTATTGCTACCCTTGGAGAGCTCAGGCTGGTGGAGGGTTGGATCTACATGGAGGGCCAGGGTTCACTATAGAGCCTCCTAGGTACTAGGGTGATGACCGAGCAGGATGGTTCAGGGCAGAGGGGACATCGAAGTGAGAAGTAGTGTGCTTGAGGATGAGGGGGGCATGACATGTTCAGTGGTCCAGGCTGGAGTAAGAGGACTTGAAGCCAGATGCCAAGGTTGGGTCATGGTCCTCTGTGGGTAAGGTTGAGAAACCTTAACTTCATTGTGTCAATATAAGGAAACAGCAGAGATAATGAGGTGTAGGTGAATGATGGCAGGTCTGGGGCCCACAGCTCCTCCTAATACCCTCTCCATCTTTCCTGTCTGCTCTGTGGCAGACTCTTCCTGGAACTTCTGCAGCACTTCTGCCCACATGGCAATGAATTGGTTTTCCCCCTGCCTGATGGGCTTCACTAAGGGCAGCTGGGAGCTGGAGGAAACAAGTAGCAGCTGTGCAAGGGTGCTGTACCCTGAGGTCTTCACTGACAGTCCTTCATGTCTTTGCAGGTGTGTTGTGCTCTCTGACCCCTTGAAGGACTCTTCTCGAACTCAGGAATCCTGGAATGCCTTCCTGACCAAACTCAGGACTCTGCTGCTTATGTCTTTCACCAAAAACCTTGGCAAGTTTGAGGATGAGATGCGGACCTTGAGGGAGAAGAGGACGGAGCCAGGTTGGAGTTTCTGCGAATACTTCATGGTTCAGGTACTGAACTCACTATAGAGCATACTGCCTCCTGTGCCGTGCCTCCTCCTTTCTTTCTAAATGAGGCAGCCCTCAGTGTAATTCTTAAACTGGCCTAGTTTGAGGAACCAACCATACAGTAGCCAGGACAGATATTTCCGTTTCTCTGCTGATGGAGCAGAACATGACCTTGGTCTCCTTAGGTGTCTTGTTACCTCAGAACTTGACACCCATCTCGCCTTGAAGACACTGGTCCTCAGAGTCATCTTGGTTTTGTTTGGTCTTGGGGGCCCTTCTGGGTGTCTGCTGTGATTTAGGCAGAGGTACCTTTCAGTGGGGGACCATCCTGAGCTGGGTGTGTTGTTCACTGTGGTTAAAGGGTGACTTTGGGGAGCTTTCTCTCCATAGGTGTGTGTGTGTGTGTGTGTGTGTGTGTGTGTGTGGCAGTGGAGATTAAGCCCAGGGCCTGGCACTTGCTGGACAAATGCTCTGGTACTTGAGCTACACCCCCAGCCCTTTGTTTTGGAGACAGGGTCTCAATACCTTTTGCCCTGGCTGGCCTTTGCCTCCTGAGTAACTGGGATTACAGGTGTGTTCCACACAAGTCTACAAGCCTGAATCAACCTACCTGTCCAAAAATTCCTCCATCCTTCTGTGAGTTCACACTGACCTCCATCCCAATCCCAATCCCCAGCTTCATTTTATGACCTGGTTTCCAGTGAAGGAGTGCATTAAGATTGTTCTTTATTGCAAGTCACCAAAATGTTTAGGCTTTTCAAATTGTAGTTTATTATCTGCTCCTTTTCCCTTTTAAGAAGAAAGTTCTTGAGTGCACAAAAGGCTGCATAGTGGTTTCATTTGGAAGAGAGGAGTCCTTTTAACACTGCAGCATGACAATTTTTGCTCTTAGGACTCCTTGCTTTTGTTCACCATCTTTTGACTGAGAGAGTATAAGTTTCATGTGTAGACATCAATTATGTATTAATTATTGGAGAAATAATGCACTTCAAATAGATAAAAATTTATTCTGATTAGAAATTTTTATTTTTATTTCTTATTCTGGGACTGATGCCTTAGGAGTATTTGGGAAATTTGGTACACGTAAGGGGATTTTTGAGTATGTTAATAATTCCATGTATGATTGGCACTGCAAACCTTTCTGATTGCCCTGTCTCTTCACTCTGCAAGCTTATTAGGCTTAGTCTCTGGGAATTACAGAAAAGTAAGGGAACAGGCTAAATGAATCTGGGGAGTGGGATTGGGATGGAGATCAGTGTGAATTCACAGAAGGATGGAGGGATTCATGGGCAGGTAGTTTGATTCAGGCTGTAGACTTGTGTTTGAGGATTAGGGTGCCTGCATGTGCTTCCTTCTTCCTCCCTGAGCCTTGGCAGACCTAGGAGAATGGCACCCCCATGGCAAGGGGCACACCTCGCACTGGTCTGTTTCTAAACTCCCTTCTCCACCAAAAGGAACTAGAGTGTCTTGAGCAGTGGCTGACAACAGGCTGGCGTGGGTGATATACAGGATGGGCCTGGAGTATCATGTAGGACCATGATGTGAGGAGGTTCACCAAAAGAAATGGGGTACCAGAAGATACACACACCGCTTGAAGGAGCCTGGGAGGGTCGGGACAGAAGAACCATCAGGACAGGGCTGGGTGCAACCTAAAAGTAAAGTCGGTGCCCGTGCGTCTGTATTGACTCCATCCAGAAGTCCAGTCAACAAACATAGAAAGACAGGAAAACCAGTCACCTTCAGTAGGAGCTGTTGGAGTCAGGGTCCCTGACCGCTGTCAGAGGCGTTAGGCAAAGCCTGGGAGGTGTATTTGCAGAGTCTCCTCATGTCCCCAAAACATCTGCAAACGTTGTGAAGCAGTGGTCACTTTACAGCAGGAGACCCAGCTCAGGCAGCCTGACTCAGGCCAGCGTCACCCATGTGACCTCCTTTCTAAGATGTGCTGAGAAAGGAGTGTCTTTCCTCTACGGAAAACACAGTCTCATGGCAGTCAAATAAAACATCAAATGAGAGATGCTAGACCAGATAATGTCAGTACCCATCAGGTGCCTAGGTCATGAAGGAAGGGAAGACAAAAACTGTGACAGACTGCAGGAGACTCAGGAGCAGTGGGGCGCCGTGTGGGATACTGGGTGGGTTCCTGGATTGGAAAAAGTGCTAGAATTCAAGTAAGGACTGTGTAGTTCATAGTATTGTACTAACATTAATTTCCAGTTTGATAAGGATATTACGGTTCTATGAGCTGTTAATATTCTAAGAAGCTGAATGTGGGCTAGGCAGAAACTTGCTTGTTTAGGGGCAATGTTTCTGGCAGTGCTGAAGTTTGAACTCAGGGCCTCACATTTGCTAGGCAGGCACTCTACCATTCCACCAGCCTTAGGGCAACCTTTCTGTAAGTCCAACATTAGTTCATAATTAATGATGAGCAGAGAAGAAAGTTCTGGTGTACACTGTAACATGGGCATAGGTTGAGGATATGCTCAGTGACAGAAGCCAGCCGCAGAAGGATGAATGCCTCATGATTCTTCTTAGATGAGGTCCCTTGAGGAGTCCAGTTCACAGACAGTGGAACAAGGTTACCAGGGACTGGGGGAGAGAAACTGGGGGGTTGTTGTGAGACAGTTTCAGTTTGGAATAAATGAGAAAGTTCTGGAAATTGGTTGCACAATGGTGTGAATGTACTTAACACTACTAAACCATATACTTAAAAATGGTTAAGAGTACCCAGGTGAGGTGACTGATGCCTATAATCCTAGTCCTTGGGAGGCTGAGGCAGGAGGGAGTTTGAGGTGACCTGGGCTTCATAGTGAGACCCTATCTCAAAAAAAGTTAATATGGGAAATCTTAGTATATTTTATTGCAGTTAAAAATGAATTAATTTATTGGAATACTCAATCCCAAAAGTACTTCATAAAGAAGAGAAAAGTAAGGTCAGGATAACCCAGTGCCCAGCAATGTGCTTAGAGACAGTGGGATACATGGAGAGCCAGAAGGAGTCCTGGGGCTCTAGAGAGAGCAGGCCAAGTTTTTCTTCTCTGCTCCTCTGGATCATAGTTGGTGGAGAGACAGTGGCAGAACTCCCAGCCTCTCTGCTCTTCTCTACCCTTTACAGACAGAAATTTAATACTCTCTGTCCAGATAAGGAACAGATTAGGAACCTGAGGCACAGGCCACCAGTCAGCCCTGCTGCAGCTGGGAGATGTTGGCGTCTGAATCTGACACTAGTTCTGAGATTGAGTCTGTCCCCCAGATTCCCACCCAGTGAGTACCAGAGGCCTTCAGGCTCTTGGGATGGTATCTACAAACACATGAGATTGAACTAGATTCCACACACCTGACATGGAACTGAGTGTGTCAACTTACACGTGTGTGCATAGCTTTTGCTTTAATGTACAATGATAGAAATCCAAAAAATAAAAAATCACCCCAGCCATCTCTGTATGTTTATTCATTCGGTGAGTACTGAGCCAAGTACTGCTAGGTGCAGTGTCCGTACACATCTCTCATGAGCTCATAGTGAACTGCTCAGAATGGAGGATGAAGGCCCACAAGCCGCATGGCGTGCAGTGTGGAGTGAGGCAGTGGCCTTGCTGAGAGAGTGGTAGCGAGAAGTCAGGTGGCTGTTTGAAGGAAGCATGAAGAAGCATTGCAGGCCCAGGGAAGAGGCAGTGTGAGCCTGGCACGTGTAAGGGAGACTGAGGGGCCTTCGGGGTGGGGCTGAGTAAGTGAGTGAGGTAGGTCAGAAAAGCTGCAGTGGGGACAGGCCAGTTAGTGACCAGTGGTGTCTAGTGCTAACAGGTCAGGTGTTGTCCTTTTCCTACTTCCTTATGGTCTCCAGCCCTCTGTGTGCATAATTGCTGATGTCACCAGAGGGACTTGCATTTCAATGGCACGAGTGTCTCACATGTTCTCTGTGCGCCCTGCGTGGCTGCACTTGGTTTTGATAAACTGACCTGTGTTCTTTGGGTGAACAGGAGGAGCTCGCCTTTGTCTTTGAGATGCTGCAGCAGTTTGAAGATGCCTTGGTGCAGTATGATGAACTGGACGCCCTGTTCTCGCAGTATGTCGTCAATTTTGGGGCTGGGGGTAAGTAGATGTTTCAGTGACAGAGTCTTTCCTCACACCTTCTTTCCCATTCTTAAGTATGTTGATTAGTGATTAGTCATCACTTGCTGATGTTTTTGTATAATTATAGACCATGGGTTCATGGGATTCCTATAGGAAATAAAATGAGAATTAGGATTAGTCACTGTCAAAGTCAGAAGAGTCTCCAGTAGTAAAAGTACTTCCAAAGCTGTTTTCAGAGTAAGCATCTTGCTGGCCATGCTACTGATCACATGCCTCCTGCCTAGGATGACGGTGGATGTCTCTCAACCTCTATAATGCTTGAGAGCTCATTTTTATGAGTTTTATGTCACTATTATAAAGGCCATTCATCAGTCTTTCAGATTTTACGTACTATCTTAAGTTCTTCTTTTAGAATTACAGACTGGGTGCAGTGAAACCATGTACAAAGTTCATGCTCACTGTTTTTACTGATGTTTATCTTGCTAGAAACTCTATCACATTGTCTAGACATTCCTGTCTAACTTCTTTTCTTAGTGATTGCCATCATGGCATCTCTCCAGCTGCCAGGTCAGTGCCAAATTGTGTTTGTGAGTAGCTGCCTAATGTTCCATGGTTGACTCCTGAGAGTTTATTCAACTCTGCCCTGGGGTTGGACATTTGGGTTGTTTTCTGCTTCTGGCCTTTACACAGTGCTATACTAGACATGTTTCTGAGAACCCTTGCCACCATGTCTGAAGAAAGGAAGGATTTCAGGGAACTATAGTGCCAGCTAAGAACCTGCAGGGGAATGAGGTAATGAGACAGTCAGCTCACCTGGAGCCTGTCCTTGTTCTCAGAATGATCACAAAGTATCTCTCATTAATCCCCATTCCAGACCATTCTTAATGAAGTTCTGGTTTGGATATCTTACTCTGCTAAGACACAAATATAGGCCTATAAACAAATATAGACCTATTTACTAATTAAAATTTAAAAATTAGGGAAGGTAAAAGCATTTTTTTTTATTTCATACATGTTATGTGTCCATGCTATATGCGTATATCTTTAAATACATACAAAAATTGTAGTTCACATGACTTCTTTGGTTTTCTTCAGTCTAAAACTCAGTGTGGGGCAATTTCAAATGCAGAAGTTAGCCTGCACTGAGTTTTGCAGCTGATTGATAAGGCTGCTGAAGCATGTGCTCACTGAGGGCCTGCCTCATGCGAGAATGTAACTCCTTGTCCAGGCTGTGGATGCAGGCTGTAGAAGGGGATAAATTTAGGCAGGGTGGTTGGGGCAGCACCTCCAGGGAGCTGGCATTTGCCTGAGACCTGAATGGAGTGTGCACTGAGAATGCCCAGGTAGGGACCCAGCAAAGGAACTCCCTACTCTTTGCAGGTAGCTGATGGGAGAGTTAGGAAGGGAGAAGCAAAACTTGTAGGACAGTCAGGTGGCAGGCTGCACTCCAACCCCATTATACTCTAGCCTAAAACTTCAGGGGACAGAGCTGAGATGTCCCCAAGATCATGGCCTGTGAGTCTCGGAACAGCCACTTGACTCGTTCCATGCCAACTCATCACCTCCTGGGCATGATAAGACAGTGTGCCTTGCTGTCTAGGGCCTAGGGCCCTGTGCCCGCTATCACTGCCAGAACCCAAATGAATGTGTTCATGGGACACTAGTGAATGTGTCTCAGGACACCCCTCCTGAGCCACTATCTAATGAGTGGTCTGGGACTGAGGGTAACTGGCTGCAAAGCTTCCTGCTCCTCCCAAAGCCTCCTAGTCCTCTGCAGGAACTTTAGTCAGGTGAGGTGCCCCACAGTCAGCGCCTTTCATGATGTCTATTTGTTTAGATGGTGCCAACTGGCTGACTTTTTTCTGCCAGCCGGTGAAGAGCTGGAATGGACTGGTCCTCCGCAAGCCCATAGATATGGAGAAGCGGGAACTGATCCAGAAGCAGGAAGCCACTCTGTTGGACCTGCGCAGCTACCTGTTCTCGCGCCAGTGTACCCTGCTTCTCTTCCTGCAGCGGCCATGGGAAGTGGCTCAGCGTGCCCTGGAACTGCTGCACAGCTGTGTGCAGGAGCTAAAGCTGCTAGAAGTGAGTCGGCTCCTCTCCCTGCTTGCCACTCCCAGTGTCCATACAGCACAGCCAAAACCACCACCTGCCAGTCAGACTGCCTGAGCAGAGCAAGGAGTTCCCTTTCGCAGTGTTCTTACTTACTTAGTTACCTTTTATCCTTGCTGCTCTCCATGGGTAAAGTTCACATTGGCCCAAGCAAGCCTCTTTGGTCAGGTTCTTCCTTTACTTTTTTTTTTTGTGTGTGTGTGGTACTGGGGTTTGAACTCAGGGCCTACACCTTGAGCCACTCCACCAGCCCTTTTTTGTGATGGTTTTTTTCAAGATAGGTCTCTAACTATTTGTCCAGGCTGGCTTTGAACTTGATCCTCCTGATATCTGCCTCTTGAGTAGCTAGGATTACAGGCTTGAGCCACCAGTGCCTGGCTGAATAAATGTTTTAATCCTTCAAAGATTAATTCACTCAGGGACCATTGAGCTATTTTAGTTATACACATTTTAGTGAGATAAAGGCTTCAGTGATTCTGTACATGGGAAAATTCATATGTGCATATACAGAATGTTACACAGAACTCAGCACATCCCCACTCTTATTTCCTGGTTGACACCTCCTAAATGGGCTAAGTGACTGATACAGGGCCTTAGTAGAAAGTGCTGGTGCCCAGTTTGGGAGCAGGTGGCAGTGTTCTAGATGTGCTTTTCTAGAGCCTGAGATTTGGGGCAGACTCAGTATATGGGTGGGGCCCAGCCTAGTCATATGCTTTGGGTCTAAGCGTCTTTCTCAAAGAACATTGTGTAGCAGCAACAGGAGGACAAGGGCTCCTAGAGACAGCAGCGCCTGTGCACACAGAGGCAGCTGCCTGGAGCTGGGGGGAAGGGGACAGCTGGCCCCAGGCAACTCTGTAGGAAAGGAAGCAAGTACCTAACAGCCACTTCCTTCTGCCCCTGCCCCTGTCCTGCTTCAGATATTTTGGAAACTGGGAGGCGAGGAGTGGGTATATGCAGCTGCCCCAGTCAAGTGCAGGGCTGGACAGTGTGTAAAGCAATGTGACAGGCTGGCTATTACTTCCAGCATCAAGTGAATGTGGCAGTTCCCTTTCTGATGGCCTAGCACCCTGATTTGTGTGCGATCGCACACCCATAGGTGGGTGCAGAAGAGCAGTCGAGTGGGGTTCTCTCTCTGCTGAGGGACACACTCTGTTCTCTTGAAGCCTGCCTAGCTGGTCCCCTGAACTCCGTAATCAGTGCCTCTGGCCATTGTTGAAGGGGAAGGAAGTCAGGCATCACCTGGACTGGAGAGAGAACTGAGAAAGTAGCTGGTTGTTTGGGCTCTTTCCTCTTCAGGAGCGTCTAACGCATGTTGAGCACGTGGCGTCTGGCAGTCCCCCGGCCTCCATACAGGTGGTGATAGGGTCCACTGAGGGCATTTTAACTGTTCGGCATTGTTTTATGTGCTTACCCACTGTAGGATTTTCCCTGGTTCTGTTTACATGAACTGAGATTGCCATTGTAATCCTGAATCTCTGTGAATGGCATTGCTCCTGGTTTTGGGCGACATTCACTGTGCTTCTTTGTAGTGTTGCAGACATGCTGTGCTCTCCCGGAGGAGTGCACCAAAGTTGCAACTTGGAGTCCAGCTGAGGCTACGCCACCCGTGGTCCACTCTTGCCGTCTCTTTCCTTCTAATCACCCACTTCCTGTTCCCCTTTCTGTCACACATAGCTGGGTGCTCCCTGGTGTCTCCCACCATGTTCTCCCTGTCATTCCTGCTGAGGTCCCCATGTCCCTTGCACACTTTGCTGGCACTGCTGTCGTATTGACTTCAGTTCAGCTGTATTTCCTTATACACCAAGGTACACCATGGTCTAGCTTATTCTAGGGTTCCTCTGTGAGAATCAGATGAAGAAGTGCTGTTGAGCATAGAGGTTTGGAGGGCGAGCTCCAACTCGCACAGTCTGTTCAGACCCCAGTCTGCTGCTTATACCTGGAACCATGTGTCACATACTTTCCCCTTTAAGCTCATTTTCCTCATCTTGAGGTAGAGACAGATGCCAGTTGTCATTTGGGTAGTGAGGACCCATTGAGGTGACATATGTAAAGAGCAGCTTAGTACAGTGCCTGACAGCCCTTTGTGGCATTGGAGCTGACTGTGAGTTCCCTTAGGACCATCTTCCTGGCATTCTCTTGGGGCAGCATGAAGCCTCTGAACACAAGACCAGCTTTTCATGCCTGAGATGAGAGTTTTCTATAAGGGGTTCGAGGGGAGTCTATATGTCTTTGTTTGTTTGTTTTACCTTATGTTTTGCACTTAGCAATTAACCTGAAAGTTTTATTCTTAGAATCTCTTTTAAATTTTTGTGTAAAGATTTAAAATTCAAATAACTCAAAATTACTTAATTTCTCTGTGCATTTATTTCTACCCTCAAAAGCAGACTTTCTCACTCACTAAGTAAGGGTCAGCTTTCTGGTAGATCCTTTCCTCATATTCAGTCCATGGCCAGAGGTTGGTCTGAAGTTTGGGGCTCTGACATACAGGGCTGGGTGAGATGACCGAGATACTAAAGGTGAGCAGCAGAGGAGAGAGGAGCTGAGGCCATAGTCAGATGTGTGGCTCTATGAAGGTCAGGCTTGTGTTTGTCAGTACACACAGACACAGAGCCAGCACAGAGCCTGAGCTTCCAATGCTTTTGTGGGGTTTTCCTTTTTTTTCCCCTGGTGCTGGGGATATAACCTAGGTCTTTGCACATGCACTCTACCGTTGTGCTACACTCCAGCCCCCTGTGTTCTTAGCATGAGATTGTGGCAGTTGAACTTCAGGTGTTCCTGATTTAGTCCTGCTTTGGGCATGTTGGTTGTTCAGTGGTGCCTATGATTGCAGCAGTGTGTCCTGGCGCATGTCTCTTTGTTAGGAGTTTTGTAGAGGTGGAGTTCCCAAACCAAGAACACATGTTTTTAGATCTTTTATTGAGCACTGGTGGTTTGCCTCCCAGAAGGGACTTACCTCTCAGTCATGCCAGCAGAGCCTAGCTTCCTGCACCTTTAGCAGGAGGAGAGTAGGATATGTTCATATTTCATTCTTTACCTAAGTGATATGTGTGAACAGTATGAGGAGGACATTTTCTAGAATGCCTTCCTGTTTTGGTACAGTGATTGCCCAAGTGCCCTTTTGTTTTTGAACCATGTTCTTTCCTATGGCATTTACCTTCATCAGCTTAGGCGGTGAGTATAGCAGACAGCGTGGCCAAAGAGGGCAGGACTCCTTTTGACTCCAGAGGACCAGCAGTCTTACAGGTATGCCCAGGGCAAAGTCAGCTGATTGACAGAGGCCCTAGGGTAGTCAGCTCTCCAGATGAAGGAGAGATGTGCAGGCTTGGCCTGGTGGCAGCAGGAGAACAACTGAGGGCGCTTGACTGGTGTTTACTAAGGATACACTGTGTGCAGACACCTGACTGGTCTCTCAAGGCAGAGATGTGGTTTCTTTGTGGCCCTGAGCAGGTAAGCCCAAGTGTTGCCAAAGAGGATCAATGAGAGTGGTGGCTCCCTGGGAAAGAGAGGAAGAGTTAAGAGAGCAAGGAATAGTCAGGAGCATTCAGGAAATGCTTGCCAGGCATCATGGTGATGCAGAGAGGTTACCAGAAGGAAGAAACAGCACCATCCCCACATGGAACTTTGGGTAGCCCTCCATGCCTGCCAGTTGCTAGAGCAAGCACTGTGGACTGGTCTGTGACAAGAGAGAGTCCCAACAAGGAGGAGGGGAGAGTACCAGACCAGGCTAACAGGCACTCTTGGAGCACCTGGTAGCACTAGGGAAGTTGCTAGAGTTCTGCTGAGCTCAGTTTTAGAAGATTCATTCTTCTACACATGGTCACTGTCTGTTGTGTGTGGGCATGGTTGACACTGCTTCAGTGGAAAGCAGACCAGCATCGCCACCCGGGTGGAGCTTGACCTTCCCAGGGAGCAGCCAGGGGAGTGTCCGTGGCATTGAGGTTGGTGCCAGTGTATGGGAGAATGTATTTCAAGCAGGGTCCATGGCTTCCTCAGGAGCCACGAAGGAGCTCAGTTATGCTAGCATGCAGGGGGTAGGCAGGCGGGGACCAGGCTTCGAGGTATTGGAGGCCAGTTGTGAAGATTGTGTTTTATTCTGTAGCCATCTGGGAGTTATCCACAGTTTGGAGCTGGTAGGCCAGAAGAGGCATTAGGATGTGGTGGGGCCAGGGCAGAGAGAAGCAAAGGACTTAGGTTAAGGATTTAGAATATCTGTGGAGATCCAGGAGGACAGATCCAGGAGTTACAAACTAAGGCCTTTGGGATAGCTTTTAAGTGAACGATTCTGAGAATTTACTCAGTAATAGTGCTGGGCGTACTAGGTATCCACACATTAAAACAAGTCCTGATATTCACCATGGACACATTAACTCTAGGTGGGGTTTTGATCTAAACAGGCAAGGTAAAAGAAGAAAGCTCTGGAGGGTAACACGGGAGAGTGTCTTCATGACCACCAGGGGCAAGTAGTTCTTAAACAGGAAGTAGTCACACAGCTGTCGTTACAGTGGAGCAGATTGCAGCGTGCAAAGTCTGCCCCAGTGTGGGAAGAACTAGCTTCCAATATAAGAAGACTGACAAATAGGCAGAAGAGGATACCCCATTAGCCAGTAAGCACAGGAAAAGTGCGCATTCTCTTATGATTGCATTGCCATGGAGCTGAGGTAGTAATGCTTGGCAGGTATTGGTGAAGAGAACCAGAGCTAGCTCTCTGACAATGTGTGAGTGCTGCACTCACTTCACAGAGGTGTCTGAGAAATGATTGAGCGTTCCCATGAGCCGCAGTCCCACCCTGGCATGTATGGAAGCACGCCTGTGAGTACCCACAGGCAGTACAGACATGTGCATAGCTGTGAGTTTTGCCAGGGACAGGAAAGAACCCCAATGTCCATCAGATGTAAGGGCTGACACTCCCCTGCCGTGTTCATGCCATGGACCAGCAGCAAAAATGAGGGAATTGTGGGGTGGGAGTCTGACCACATTTGAGTTGAGCTAAGGAAATCAGACACAAGAGAATGTGTACCTTTTAATTTCTTATCTGTAGAGCTCTAGGGGGCAAAGCCACAGTGGGGAGCCATTCTGGTCATTGGTGGGGGTTAAAGATGGGTTTGTAGCTCTAGAGGGCTTCTGGGCTTTGTCCACAGTGGGTATGCCAGGAGTCACAGAGGATTCGTGTGTATGTTTTATTTTTCTGTCTGTCTGTTTTTTTTGGTATTTGGAACTGAACTTGGGGAATTGCGCTTGCTCGCAAGCTCTGCCACTTGAGCCACATCCCCATTTTCATGTATGTTTCAGTATGTTAGTTACATTTGCAAGAAAGAAGAAAGAGTGTCTTTAATTTTATGCCTGGAAGATGGTCATGGCTCTTGGCATTACTGACTTTATAGGAATCAAGAGAGGAGGAGGGGCTGCAACAAAAGGCACAGATCACACTGAGAAAGCAGTTGAAAAGTCTGTCACTCTCAAAAGATGATCAGAATGGCCATTGAAGAACTCAAGGTGCACACGACATATCTCATAAGCTCTGCTAGCTAGGCAGGAGTGATGGGCACACAGCAGTCTTGTCTTTATTGGTTTAGAGTGGTATGCAGTTCTGGGGTGTTGGCCTTTCTTGAGCAGCACAGGCTGATACTGCAGAGGGCATGGCTCCTGGGGAGGCCATGTGTGCAGTGCAGCCTGTGTGCACATTGGTCAAGGTGCACTATCCCACACCAGCCATCTTGCCAGGGAGGGGGCTGATGCTTCTTTGGACAGGTTTAAAACTGTGGTTGAAGAACCACTTTTCTTCCCAACTTTTTGGGATTTTTTATTACTATTCAAGCTCCACCATACTGGATAAAATAAGATTTTTAAAAAGATTGACAGGCTTGTGTAGTGCACAAGGTGCAGTGCACCTGTAATCCCAGCTACTTGGGAGGCTGAGTCAGGAGGGTTGTAATTTTGAGACCACCCTCTACAACATAACATTCACTGTCTCAGACAGCAACAGCAACAATAAAAACATCACAGAGACTGGTGAGTGCACATCTTGGTAAGGACATAGAGAAATTGGAGCTCACCTGAGATGATGCACATACCAATTTGTACAACCACTTTGCTTCAACATGTGCTTGTCCTGTGGCCCAGTAAGTCCATCTCTAGGTATGAACCCAAGAATAAGTCCAACCACAAGATGAGGCCAGGAGTGTTGTAGGAAGCCTGTGGACTGTTGAGAAGAGCTGATGCTGGCTCCTTTCCTGGCTATGACGCAGCTGTATTCTAGGGTGCCGTGGCTTTAAATCATTGTGGTTATTTAGCAGGTCCTATGTGGCTGTGAGTGCTCTAGGGTCGGACTGGGACTTAAACTCAAGGCTTTGTGTTTACAAAGCAGGGCTCTGCCACTTGATCCACACTCCAGTCCTCACTGAGCTCTAAGTTTGTATACCTCGATACATACATATTTTACAACTTTACATTTTTAAAAAATAAGCAGTGAAAAAGTATCGCTACGATTAAATTTGCTTAACATTTCTGAAAGTTTCAGGTGACTGGTGCCATGCAATTTGCCCCATCAGACCTTTAAAATTTGTGTAGAAAAAACATGACCCCTGCCCCCAACATGGTGACATGGTGTTTAGCTGGGATCTGGTTGAGTGTAAAGAGGGCTGTACACAATCACAGTTCATGATGGCATGCTAGATTACTGTGCATGCCTTTTTTTCGTCTTCAGTAAAAGCTCAAGTTTAGAATGTTGCATGATAGTAAATGTGGGAAGCTACAGCACTCTCTGAAAATAGGGGCAGTAAGAATATGCCTGAGAAGAACAGTGCGAGTTTTCAGAGGGAGGACCACTGAGGGTTCCCAGGCAGAACTTTCGGGGGACTCTGAGTTTCAGTTAGTAAAATAAAACCCCTCCCTTGTGGACAAGGAACACATTCCTTGTGCTCTGTGTTGTACGAGGACTTGTTGCCTCCAGAGGCTTCAGAGGAGCTGGTGGCTGCTGCTAGACTTTTGTTCTTAATCTTGGAGAGGCTGCTACTATGATGGCAGCTTTTTAAATTCCATTGTTCACACTTAGCAAAGTAGTGCTTGCTTTTTGTAGAAACAAATATGCCAGGGAAACATCTGTCCTGTCCTGACATTGAGCCTCTGACCTATCGGTATGGTCTCTAGACTGTCTCTGAGCACATCTGTTGTGCTCACTTTGGGTCTGCACTACTCTTCCACTGACTAGGTATGGGTCATGGAGGACTGCTGCACACTGCACTGTGCACTTTGCTGGTCTTACCTGTATACCCTGCTGCCTTAGGCTGCAGTGCCTCTGCTCTGACTCCCAGATTTTTTTCCTGCTCTTTGGATTTGTCTGCATCAGATAACTGTTAACCAAAAGCACCATGTAGAGTCCTGCTCCTGATGAGCCTCTCATTCTCTCAAGGTCTTTTTGTCCCTAGTGTATGTCCAGAGGAGGTGGCCTGTTCACAGAGGCGTCATGGAATTACCACCAGGGTGGTAGTGGCTCATGAGGCAAGGGGTTCCAGCCTGCCCTGGTTTGATGGACAAGGGTGCTGGTATTCTCAAAGGGACATACTCAGGCAGGGTCTAGGAACTGGCCCTCAGCATGGTCTATTGTCTGGGGAGGAAGTTGCGTAACTTTATGAAAGGAGCATCTGATTCTTGTTCTATGCTGATTTTTCCAAAGGGTTTAAGTGGTGTACTTCATCTTTCAAAAATCAAGCAGTGGCGCTGGGGCATTGCTCAAATGGTAAAGCACCTGCCTGGCAAGCATGAGGCCCTGAGTTCAAGCCCCAGAACCTAAAAACAAACAACAAAAAAATCAAGCAATGTAGCTTTTATAGGAACATTTAAAGGTGCTCCTGGTTCTTTCTGGTTGGCTCCAGATCCTTAGTTTTTATTTGTACTCAGGGTGTCTTGAAGGAGGCCGTCTATGAGTTGGCTTTGTCAGCACGAGGCAGCTCTTCATAGGTCCCCTATGCAGAATTCCCTTTGTTTCCTGTTTTGAGTAGTGACAGGAAGTATATTTCACCCAAACTAACACACCAGTTGTAAGATACACAGTGAAGGTAGTGCCACCAAGAAAAAGCCAGCATTGCCAGTCACTGAAAGTATAAAATGCCATCAGTGACACACATTCCTATTTCAGAAGTTCTGTAAAGGGGGTGAAAGTGCTCTTAGCATCGATCGCATGTGGTAGATGGTTTTGCATTTCTGAAACTCTTGGAGTTTCTTGGTATCCATCACCAGGCACGGCAGTTACTAACATATGCCTTCCTAGTTCCTAATCCACTTCTCCCTGGATGGTGTTCCAGACAAACCCTGAATGTTGTATGAGATTTGTCTCTGAAGGTCTAATGCACCCCTAAGCCATAGGATCCTTTCAGACAAATATATTGCCTTGATCACATCTGAAGCATTCAGCTGTCCTTTTTGTGTGCCATCAACATCTACTCTGTTCATTTCTGCTGTTAAACCAGTCCATCTTAAATGTGATTATGTAGTCATCTGCATTCTCAGTACCCTATCTTCTCCTTCCTCCCTCCAAACTGACATCTAGCCAGTTTTCATGTTTAGCCTAAGAGATGGTAGTTAGCATTTTTGTCAGCTTCCTTTTCGTAATGAGTTTTAAAATTATATTACTGGAAGTTATGTCCCTGCTAAGTCACTCATTATCACCCAACACATGAATCCAAAGACTTATTTGGACATATGTCACTCTTTGTCTGTCCCTGTGTGAATCTAGGGAATGGTAGTTCTATCTTGTAGCTTTGAAGGTTATGGCCCATTCCATTGATTGGCTGCTTGAGTGCTGAAAGCTGTAAGCACAGAATGTGTGGATTTGTGTTCTCCCCAGTGTCCTCAAATACCCATACTTGTACCCTCACAGGTTTCTGTCCCACCTGGAGCTCTGGACTGCTGGGTGTTTCTGAGCTGTTTGGAGGTGTTGCAGAGGATAGAAGGATGCTGTGACCGGGCACAGATGGATTCCAACATTGCCCACATGGTGGGACTGTGGAGCTATGCCACAGAAAAGGTACCTGTTGCCCCATGTGGAGTATTTGTGTTATCCCTGCGGGTACCTGTGTAGCAGATGACATGGACTATTGGGAGAATTCTTGTTCATTTAGCTGGCAGCCTGGCAGCTCTTGTGATCTTATGGGTCGTGTGTCCTTTCCACTTCTAGCTTCTTTAGTAGGCAGCAAGACCTTGCCGTGCTTGTCCTGAGAGAATGGCTGTATGCCAGGAGTGGGGTGGGTAAGAAGGTGCAGCACGTGCCATTTTGGGAAATGCACTATGTCACACTAGTATGTGCAGCTGGGTGGGCAGCTGGAGCCAAAGTTCACAGGGGCAGGTGGAGCAGTGAACTACAGAAGATTAGATTGTAGGTAGGTGAAGGACAGGCAGGGGATCAGTAACCTTGGAACCACCCCAGGAACTGTCACAGAGAATGTATGAGTTTGGAATGATCCCAGTAAGATGTATTATTTTTATATCCAGATTTGAGTCATTTGTGTAGGAAAATTCTTCTAGAATCTACCTGGATTTGAATTTTTTTATATTTAAATTAATGAATTGTCTGGTGATACTTATGGAAAATTAATTGAAATTGTGGGTTTATCTCAACAGCTAAAGTCCTTGGGCTACCTGTGTGGACTTGTGTCAGAAAAAGGACCCAACTCAGAAGATCTCAATAGGACAGTTGATCTTTTGGCAGGTTTGGGAGCTGAGCGACCTGAAACAGGTACTTGTGTTGCTAATGCATAGTAAAAAACACCTGCTGACCTCCTCCCCTAAGAGCACTGCTCTGAGGAATTCGGATAATGGAAAGTATCTGTGTTGCACTGTTTGAACCTGAGACCACTTTAGATCATTTTGGAAGTAATTTAATACATTGGCGTATTGGTAATATGTATTTCTGGGAAGTCTAACCTCAAAGATCCGAGAGAAGTATTACATAGGGGGTTTAGACTGTTTCATGAATATACTAATTAGAAAAGAACAGACATTGTATTATAGACTCTGCTGGTGGGGCTGAGTTTATAATTTCCACAGGAGTCAGATGAGGTCATCGCCCTGCAATTTGAAGGCAGACGTCAGCGCATACGACTGTACGTGATCCAGATGTATAAGGACTCTTTATTTCTTTTCTATTTAAGCCAACACTGCTCAGAGTCCTTATAAGAAACTCAAGGAAGCGTTGTCATCAGTGGAAGCTTTTGAAAAGCACTACTTGGTAAGTGCAAGAAGGTTCCACTCCCTGCAGGCTTTGCTCTTCCACGTGACCTTTGGAATTGGGATGAGCTGGTGCTGGTGCTGGAGAACCCCTTGTCTTATGCCTTGGTAGTTGCCCTAGAGTTGCCCTAGAGAGTTGTGTGCAAAACTTGGGGTAATTGTTCACTAAATGTTTAGTGGCACCCATAGTGCCATATTAGGCATGAATGCAACTATGAATATTAATTTTGTTCAAAATGGGTTTGCCCCTTCAATAAGGAGAAATTGTAAGAGAGGATGGATAATGAGTGCTTTTCTTTGTGAAAAGGAACCACTTGGACTTGGGCAGAGCTATTATGCTTGGTTTTAAAAGGTTTAAACTTTTGAAAACAGTACAGGTGTGTGGGTTTTTTTGGAGGGATGGGGGAAAACCAGCTCATTTCCTGGGCTACAGTTAACTGGAATGCATTGGAGTGTATTTGATGGTGTGTTCCTGTCATACAAACAGCGAAGAATAATGTCAAAATGGTTCCCACAGACAGAAGTACTGTGCAAAGTTAGATAGTCTGTGTTAAAGGAATTCATTGCTACTTATTATTGTGCTTCATAATATATGTTACTTTGTGTAGAAAATATTACAGCTTCCATAAAAACTCAAGCAATGCAAAACTAGATGCCAAGTAAAAAATAATGTTACATTAACAACAGCATCCTTTGCTTCTGCTTTCAGTAAATAAGTGCAGATTTGTATGGCATTAAAATTCAAGTATGTAATTCTTTTTTTGAAACTTCTCCACAGGATTTGTCCCATGCCACCATTGAAATGTATACAAGTATCGGGAGGATTCGGTCTGCCAAGTTCGTTGGGAAAGATCTGGCAGAATTTTACATGTAATTGATGGTGAACTTTTCTTTGGATTTCGAGCATTTCACCTGTATAGTGAGAGACCGTTTGTGTGTGAAGCTAATGCAAAGTGTACATGGATTTGTGAATTGAAAGTGTAGAGTCTATTAACCATTTGATCATTTTGTTAAGTTCTTCTGAAAACCAACCGGGCTTTTCAACTTGTTACCCTTAATAGTTTTAAGGATATTACTGGTCTCCATGGTTATTTTATTTAATTAAACTTGTTTAATTATGTACCTACGTACGTACACACAAAAAACATTAAAGTTAAAAAGTTATAATTAACTTTATTTAAAGAATGATGAAGAAGTACTTAATTTACCTCCCAAGGGTGCATAAATTGAATACTTCATTGTGTACCATTTCTCTAGTTGACATGTCTCAGCAGATGTGTGGAAACTCAAGGCCAGTGGCATGAGGCCGCTGTATACATTGGACATGTGTGCAAGGTGATCTGGAGCAGTCACAGAAACTCTGTTCCAGGTGGATTTGATTCCACTGAAAAGACTGAGTGCAGTCATTTCTAGTGAGCATGGTAAAAACCGGCCGGTCAAGAGAAAAATCCTGGCTGGAGGGGTGATTTCTGTTTCAAATCAGGAAAAGAGAAAGAAATTATAAAAAAGGGAAAGATATTTGTTTACTTTTTCTCGAAAAGAAAATGTGTGTTTAAAATGAGACCTTGAAATCTGCACTTCATGAAGTCATTTTGGTAAATGAAACAAGAAAGAAGAACGTATTTGAGCTGCTGTGGATTGCTAGGAAGGGGTTTTTGAAGGTCATCTAAGTGGACCACCTAGGTGCTTGGAGCAGCCAGCCCATCACTTGCTCATTACTAGCAGGGTAGGACAGGTGTCTGGCATGTGGTGTATGGTACCAGTTGACAGTGCAGGGAAGCTGTGAGTTTAGCTCTCTTGTTCCCAGGATTTACACATGTTGCTTGTTTAATCCTTCATGGTTCTCTGGATACTTACAGCTCTCTGCCTGAGTCAGAGCTGACCTGAGCTCCCTAGCTAGGCTACACAGACTATGTGTACAAGTGTTCAGTGGTGGTGTGGCACCATACCTCTGCCATGGATAGCCAGCTGTGTGTCAGCATGAGGTGGTGAACACTACTCTCACCTTCTTACCTGAGACTCATCTGAGAAGTGTGACCAATGCCAGGGAGACAGCCAGTCATGGTGGTGCCACATGAGCCATGTCTTCGATCTTCTCCTGGCAGTTCTTTACATGATCTGGAGGCAGAGCTTTCTCCTAAGAAGGGTGGCAGGAAGGACTGCGTAAAGATGGAGCCTGTGTCACTGTGGGGTCTGAAGTGCAGCAGGGTGGAAGACTGGGTCTCTGTTCCCTGAGTCCTAACAAGAGCTTGTGTTTGTTGACTTTGCAAGGAGGAAGAAGTCTCCACAAAAGGCAGAGATGTATCTTCAGGGAGCTTTGAAAAATTACCTGGCTGAGGGTTGGGCCTTGCCTGTGACACACACAAGGAAGCAGTTAGCTGAATGCCAAAAACACCTAGGGCAAATTGAAAAGTATCCTTTAAGTCCAATATTTACATAGCAATATGGTCACAGTTGAGTGTTTAGTAGCCACCTAATATTAAGGAGAAAAAACCTATCTTATATTGAATATGAACTAAATGCCTAGTCCGGGTTTATAAATCTAAAGTTTTGAGTTTTGACAATTTAAAAAAGAAGAATGTCCTTTGGGCCATACTTGAAGGACAGAGAGGACTTTTGAAGCCCATTTTCCTCCAGTGGCCCCTCTCCAGGCCCCTTAACTCTCCACTCCAGCTATCTACAGACCAGCAGCCTTCTGGCCAGCGATCATCACCTGACTGAAGAGGAGCGGAAGTATTTCTGCCAGGAGATTCTCAGCTTTGCCAACCAGCAGGAGGACAACCCAGGTAGGACTAATGTTGAGAACTTTATCACAGACATTTCCAAACACTACAGATGCATCCACTGTGTGGAGTCAGTAGTTCACGTTTTGTTGACTATCTAGAGTCCATTACTGTACAGCATGTGTCTTCCAAATGTGAAGACAGATGGTCTCCTAAGCACACAAGGGACTCACAGAGTTCTCATATCATCTGCTAAGAGGTCCATATTCCACACTTCCCACATTGTCTCAAAAATGGTTTTACAAATTATTTTAAGAGTCCAGCAAGGGAGCACATACTGTATTTGGTTGTTATATCTCAACTCTCGTTTAGTTTACAGAAGTTATCTCTATCTCTTTCTTTCTTTTTTGAAAGACAGTTTTCTCTTGTTCATATACCATGTACGCACCCACTTGATGTGTGCATCTCAGTGGCTTTGACCTCATTTGTAATTATGTGTAGCTGTCACCACAGTCCATTTTGTCACCCTAAAAAGAAATCCCTAGACGGACATGGTGGTGTATACCTGCAGTCCCACCACTCCGGAGGTTGAGGCAGGAGAATTGCAAGTTCAAGGCCAGACTGGTTTACATTGTTCCAAAAAAAAGGAAACGAAAACCCCATACTTACTCCCTTCTCAGTCCCTGCCAACCACTTGTCTACTTTCTGTCTCTAAGGCTACTTGTTCTGATGTTTCATGTTCACAGACACGATCATGAGACATGCCTTCTGTGACTGGCTTCTTTGTCTTCCCCGTGGTGTCTCATGGGTCGGTACCCCATTTCTTTTTATTTTAGAACACATTGAGCCATTTGCCTTACAGACCAACCCAACTTCTGGAGTTCATCTCTGTGATTGCTCATGGCAGCATCTAAATGGAAGTTAGGTCCAGAAGGCTTAGGTTCAGGAAAGACACTTTCACAAACATGCTCATAGCAATGCTGTGAGCAGGGTTAGACACTCTGTGAAGCTTAGCTACTTGTGCTTAGTTCACCAAGAAGAGCACGTGTTTAAAATAGTTCTGTACTACTCTACCCTGCCTGCTCTAGGCCAGAGCCTTAACCTCTCAGAGTTCTAGAGGCTACAGTCCAAGGTCAGGTACAACCTAACCTGGTTTGGGTTAGGGCCTCTTCCTGACTGGAAGATGGCTGCCTTTTTGCTATTCTTGCATAGAAGGAACAAGAGACAGCAAACTCTCTGGAGTCTCTTCTTATAAAACCCCATCACAAGGGTCTCACTCTTCTGACATCATCTGACTTCATCACCTGCTAAGCTGTCACTCTGGAGGTTAGAGCTGTACTATATGTGTTGGGGGGTGGGCCCTCAGGTCAGTCCATAGCAGTTACTGACTGAGATTGTGAGTTCTTCCAGAGACTTTGGCTCCAAGATGTGGTCATGGATTGCCCTGGTGAGTCCCCCTGATTGCCCCTGGATGGCAGACTCTTTAGTGTGCCTAAGCTGGTCGTTGGCAGTCATGACTCAGCCTGTTGTTAGCATGGGGGATGATTGGAGCCATCGTTTTCCTGCCAGCATTCCTTTGAATCTCGGATTGAATGACATGTCTATATTTGTTTACTGTTTTCTTCATCATCTTGTGATGTCAGTCATACCAAATCTCATTAGTTGATGGGAAAACTATTTGTTGTTGTTGTTGTTTTTGGTGCTGGGGATTGAACCCATGGCTTCATGCATACTGAGCTACACTTCCAGCACCCTCCTCTCCTCTTCCTCACCCCATCCCCCACCTTGGTTGGTAAATGGCTAATCAGTCCTTACCACTCAGTTCTGCAGCCTTGTGTTTTTTCAGACAAAGCCAATGTGCTTGCAGAAAGGAGGTTAGAATAGGGCCGATAAAACAGCAGGTTCTCTACAACCATATCCTGGCCTGGCAGCTTTACTGACTGACTTCAGAGACTGGTAGGTGTCTGGTGGGGCACTTGGCATCTTTCCTTAAGAATTTCTTTAAGTAGACGGGAAAGTGTTAGAACCACTTGAAACGACTCTAGGAGTTAGACTGCTGACGTTTATTTTGGAAATTGGGGTGGTTGGTTGTCCTGTATTTCTCTCAAGCTTGCCGGTCAGACTCGGAAAGCTTTTTGTTGATCTCATAATTCCCAAAGTTACCAGACATTTGTTTATCTCCTGCTTTTGACAAAGTGAGGCTGGGAAGTTTCCAGCACTTCTTGCTCCTCATGCTGAGCAAGTGCTGGCTGGCCATGCTCCCCAAGGCCTGCCTCCTGAATGCCAGCAGGAGGGGTGGTGTGGGACGTGGGACATGGGACATGGTGGTGTGTGCTTACAGGTCATAAGGTGGTGCTGCCCATGCACTCCTTCGCACAACTGAGAGATCTCCATTTTGACCCTTCCAACGCTGTGATCCATGCGGGTGGCATTTTGTCTGTGGATATAACCATGTATAGCCAGATGCCTGTCCCTGTCCACGTGGACCAGATTGCTGTCAATGTCCACTTCAGCATTGAGAGAGACAGCTACCGGAAGACGGCTGAGTGGCTAACCAAGCACAAGATGTCCAACGGGATTATTAGTTTTCCAAGCGAGACCTCACTGTTTCCTGCATCCCAAAGCAGCTTACCTGCACTGGAGTTGTCTGAGATGTTTGAGAGAAGCCCGTCTGACAATTCCTTGAACACAACAGGGATTATTTGCAGAAATGTCCACATGCTGCTAAGGAGGCAGGAGAGTGGCTCTTCTCTAGAGACACCCTCAGGGGTAACCCTGGAGGATGGCGCCCATGTGCTGAGGTGCAGCAGTGTCACTCTGGAACCAGGGGCCAATAAGGTGGCATTCAGGACTCAGGTGCGTGCTCAGCTCGGGACTTGGACGCAGGTTGGTGGAAAAGGGGCAGGAACTCGAAAGCACTGTCCGAGGTTTGGGGGGAGGGGTGCCTTTGCTAGCCTTACGCACCTTTCCTTCTGTCTTTGCCCTTGAAGAAAAATACACTGACCTCAAAATTTTTTTCATATTTCTACAGTTTTCTGGCTGCTGATAGATTTTTGAATGATCATAAAGAATGATATCTTTATGCAGATACTTGTTTGAGGATTTAATTAACTTTTTAACTAATTGGATTATTGGATTTAGTTAGCTGTCTCCTCTGTGTATTCAAATACCTTCAGTTGTTAAAATGGGATTTCAAAGGTGGCACACTCCTGGTAAAGGGTTTCCCTGTACCTGTGTGGGCATTAGGACAGTTGCTTTTGGCCCACTCAGATGTCCATTTCCTGTGACGCAACAGGCCCCGTGTGTTCAACTCCATGAGAGGGCTTGCTCTTGTCCCAGAGCAGATCTTGTGTCTGCTCAGCTTCTCTGTCGAGAGCCTTCACAGAGTGTGCCACCGTAGTTCCCTACGTTGAAATGGCTTCGTCAAGTTCTGCCTCGAGTCATACTGGAGCAGCTCAAGTGCAGACCCATATGCACAGGCAGAGAGCTAGGAGGGAAGGAAAGACAGCCATTTGAAGAGGTCATGGCCCAGCCTGACTCAGGAAGCTGGCAGTCACAAACAGGTTGCCATCTTTCCAAGTGCCTGATTTTGACCCTAGGCCAAGGAGCCTGGAACATACACACTCCGGCAGCTATGTGCCTCAGTGGGCCCTGTGTGGTTTGTCCTTCCGCACATCTATCCCGTCGTGCAGTATGACGTGTACTCTCAGGAGCCCCAGCTGCATGTGGAACCACTAACCGGTGAGTGGACTCTGCAGCTTGGGAAGCTGCTGGGGGGTGGAGGGTTCTCAAATGCTGGCCTTCTACTCGCCAGTGATGTCCACCTTCGGGAACACTTGAGGTAGCATCAACCAACTGTGGTTCCTTGTTCACTGGACATTCACTGTCCGGTAATGCTAACTTTTTTTTTTTTTTTTTGCCATACTGGGTTGGAACTCAGGGCTTGCGCTTGCTAGGCAGGGGCTGTACTGCTTGAGCCACACACCAGCCTTTTTTTCCTCTAGTTACTTTGGAGATGGGGTCTTGCTTTTTGAAACCGGGCTGGCCTGGACTGGGATCCTGCTTATGCTTCCTAGGGCAGGTGCAATGCCTGTTCTGATCAGAATCTTCTCAGGAACTGCTGGAGGAGCTTGACCCTCGGTGTGGCAGACCTACTGTTCTTCTTGATAAGTTCTGAAATTAGAAAAGGCTGGTGGTTTCAAGTGATCGAAGACTTTTATTAAACACTAGTAAGTGAAGGCCTCAGTTGTTTAGGCTGGGAATGGTGCATTTATTTGTTCATTTCTTCCATTTGGAAACAATGTCAGGACAGCATTTTTTTTGACACACAGACATTCACACAAGCATGCACACACACCCCATGTACATTCCCTGCTTCTCACTATGTGATGCCCTGTGCTATCTCACAGCTCTGCCAACTTGTAAGGGGGCTGTCACCAGGTACAGGCCTCACCCCGGACTTAGACTTGAGCCATAATAGTCCTCTATTCTTTACAATTTCAAAAAGAAAGAGGGAACCTTTTTTCTGTTGAATCCCAATTCTCCCAAATTTTCTGCTTTCAAACTTCTGCCTAGGCCACCAGCAGTGGCCTCAGATGTCAGTCACAGCAGTCTGTCTCTCAAGGGATTCTTCCATGGAGAGTGTTTTCCTAGGAGGCTGAGCTTTGCTGCTTCAAGAGCTGGGAAGCGGCAGCAGAGCAGGTTGCTGCCATCAACCCCTTCACTTCTGCCCCTGGCTTTTGCCTCCCTGTCTTGTGTCTTTACTCCATTCTTGTGCCTTATCTCTTCTTCCCTCTAGAAGGATCCTCACAATCTTGAGCCCCTTCCTCCTGCCCTTGTTTGTGGCTGGGGAGCCATCTGTCTGTTCTGCTATGCTGCTTCTGAACCAATGACTGGGGAATTTGAGGAGCTTATACTCTCAAGTCCCTTGCTGCCTGTCCTTCAGCCTCCCTGTGTGATTGTCCTTACTAACTTACTGGCAGCTTAATTTTTTAGGCCCTCAGAATTACAGTCAACATGATAATCCTTCACTCTCTCAACCACAGTGGTGATGGGGCTGTAAGGCTCACAGTGAACCCCTCCTTGGTGCTTGGGTCCTCAGCATCAAAGCAAAACTTTAGGGCTGGTGGGAATGGGATTGACTGAATCTGTGGAGTGTCCAAGATGAAAAAACTGTGTTTCTGCAGTAAAAGAAACAGTCCTCTTTAGCCTCATCTCTGGCCCTGGGGGTCAGCAATGCTAATTGCCGTCTCATTCTCTTTAGATAGCCTTTTGGCTGGCATTCCTCAAAAAGTCAAGTTCACTGTCACCACTGGCCATTATACAGTAAAAAATGGGGACAGCCTCCAGCTCAGCAATGTGGAAGGCATGCTCATCCTATGGCAAGCAGAAAACAGAGCCATGATCTATTCTAACTCGAGAGGTGAGACTTAGCGACCCAGCCACGGGGCAGACATATGGTGTTGTCACACACATGACATGTAAGAATGATGTGGTGCCATCCAGGCAGTATGCCCTGACACTTCTGTACCCCATGTTGTCCCCTGGTAGTGTCTGCAGTCAGCATTGGTAGGTGACCTGAGCGTGGGGTGTGCACTGGTGACAAGTGCTGCTGAACTTGCTACATGATGCAACCTCATGACAGGGCTCCATGGGGATGCCCTGCTAGCCTCGTCCACCCCACCCAACACTGACAAGTAAAAGCTGTCACCCATTTTAGGTGCTGGCTAGAGCCCTGAAGGATTCCTGTTACCCCCAGTCCCTAGCCACATAGAGGGGGATGTGAATAGCTTCTTCATTGGGGTGGGCCGTGATCTGTAGTGGAATGGAGCAGGTTGACATGGCACTAGGATGTGTGGTCCTGCCTATTCTATCTTCACCTCAAGAACAGTGACCTGGCCTGATGGTCCTTCTGCTGTGTCCCATCATGGGTCTTTTCTGGGATTTTCCTGCCTCTCCTCTCACACTGTGGTCCTTCCATGGAACTCAGCAGCACCTCATGCTAAACCCACCCTCTGCTGATGGGAGGGAATGAGATGGAATATTCCTGAGATGGCTTTCCATTTCCCACAGAGGAGTCCTCCTCCGCATTGCTCCGGATCCAGTCATCTGACAAGGTCACAAGCATTGGTCTGCCTGCTGCGCCTGCATACCACGTGATTGAATTTGAGCTGGAAGTTCTATCTTCCCCTTCAGCTCCAGCATCTAGGGTGGAGAGTGGGACGCTGGGGATGACAGAGCTCTGCAGAAAGCAGGACAGAGAGAAGGCTGGTTCCGGCATGGTCACCGCAGACCACAAGGTGGGGAGGTCTTGGGCCTTGGAGCTACAGTGGTAGTGTCCATCTGTCGCTAATGTGCAAGGGATGGTTCTGTCCCCATGCCTGGAGCTCTTCTGATGAGCACTGGTGTCTGTGCAGCAGCCTTTGTAGAAAGGCAGCAGGTCCGACTTCGACTTCACCCTGGCTCTAAGAAGGACGTTTATTGTGAGAGCCTACAGTGTTAGCGTAGGAGGAGGATGGGACCTGTGTCCTGTGAGTAGGCTCGAGGAGCCTGGTCACATTGGGGCTGATGGCTGTGTTTGAAATCTGGGACTCTGATCCCAGAAGCGTGGGAAATCAGCCAGCATCGTGTGTCCATGTCCTAGGACACAGGACCCAATTCTGAAGATCTTTTGACCCGCCCGTCATTGCAGTACCCACATAAAAGCAGCAGGAAAAAGTGTCAGAAAATGATCACTTAGAGGAGAGTGTGGCAAAAAATACCAGGCAGGGAGACCCCTGAAGAATAAGGTTTGAAGACATAATTTCTTCCCCTGATTCTATACAGAGAATTAGGAGGCAAAGGTAGGAGATATGGTCAGTACTGAATAAATGAGCACTCTGCTCCCAGTATATATATTTGTTCTGTGGGGGGGGGGCGGGAAGCAAAGCTTGAGACCTGCTCCCCTCCTGCTCTTATAGGAATTCCTAGCTCTATCCATGCTGTGCCCCCAAATCCATTGGTTTTTATTGTGTGTTCACCCTCCAATGCAGGAAATGGTTAGGTAACTGACTGACTTAGGTGGCTAGTGACTGTTAGCACCTTTTGGACACCTGGGGCTAGAAGCACTTGGTCTTAGCCTCTGGCACATTTAGGGGCGCTTGTCATCTGGGCCCCAGGTATGTGAGGCAGCAGGTGTTCTTGCTGCTTCCTAGAATGCCTGTTCTCCGGACCATGGAGGCAATTCTGCTGACATCTGTACCTTCTGCCTGGTCTGTTATTTGTTTGGGGATTTTTTTTTTTCCTCTTTTTTTGTCTGTGCATATAGCTTCATGTTTCTTGCTCATTTGTATATGTTTGATAGAATTTCCTTTCTATAATAAAATGTGTAAGCAATCATCAGCCACTGCAGACTTGAGTGCATGGCGGCAGTGGATGTGCCATTTGGCAGGCAAGCTGAGTGTGTTCCTCTCTTCCTCACAGGTGTCGATTGATTGTCCATGGTCGATCTACTCCACGGTCATTGCACTGACATTCAGTGTGCCCTTCAGGACCACGCATTCACTGCTTTCTGCTGGAACCCGGTAATGAGGCATGAGGTCCAGCCCTGCTTATTCCCCAAGACTCTCTGAGTGGAGATTGTTGATGGAAAGCTCGGCTATAGTGATCACTAAGGATGCTTCCTTACATAACACAAATGCCCTGGCCCTCGCTGTCATCGGCACCCAGTCCATGCTCATATCTTCCTCTCTGTCTCACAAATGACACTTTATAGTTTGTTTGTTTGATTTAGGGTCTAGACATGATCTGGTTACTGAACAGTCTCTTTTCCCTCTTTCTGGGGGTTTAAGCCACTGACCTATTGGCAGACTCCACTCTTTCAGCCTCTAGAGAGTCTGTTGCTCTGGACTGTCTAGTTGCTTAACTACATCCTCTGTTCCTGTGCCTCTTATCAACTGTTAGTTACCTCCAGGGTAGGATTTTTCAAAAACTGACATTTGGAGCCCAGTGATTCTTTGCCGTAGGGGCTTCTCATGGCAGTTGACCATCTGTTTAGGGAGGTTGGTTGGATACATGCTGTATCATGTAATAACACAGCATCTGAGTAATATCCTCTGAGCCACTTTCCCACAGAAATTGATCCTTTAAAAAGACTTGTTTTTTCCTGGCACTTTTAAATGTGAAGTTAAATGTGGAAATACATGTAATAGTTTCTTTCTTTTTTTTTTTTTTTGCCTTGTCATTTTTGTGATTCTTTAGCCAGCAAAGTCTTCCGACAAAGCTGGAATGTATCTAATAAAAGTACTTTTTTCTTCTTTTTTGGGGGAAGGGGTAGGATTAGGGATTGATTTAATAAGATTTTTGAATGTCAAAAGTCATGCTTTTCTGTTTTAGGAAATATGTGCAAGTGTGTGTCCAGAACTTGTCAGAACTTGACTTTGAGCTGTCAGATAGTAATCTCGAGGACACTGGCCACTCTGCTGACCTGCAGCTGACACCACTGAGCACGCAGTCCCAGCAGGTAAATAGACGCCCTCTGGAGGTAAGCACCAGCTTATCAGTGGGGACCAGGAGAGTAACGTGGAGAGCCTCGAGGTTGAGCCTGTAAATGCCGAGAGCCTCTGCTGATTGGGAAGAGCTGTGTGCGTGGGGCACAGCCTGAGCCCGAGCTGCGCCTGCCACCATGTGCCTGTGTGTTTCACTGGTGGAGTAAGTGAGCTTGTGGGAGGCCAAGGGATGCAGCAGATGGATTAAGAAGCAGGCTAGTATTTTGATGTTTAGGAGAATTGAGTCTTGAGCCTGTCTTACTCTATGCATGAGTTATACAAATGTAGGCTTGTGCTTAATCTGTTAATTTCAGAACCTATTACTGCTAGGAAAAGATGCTGCTCCCATGCTGTCTTTAGGTAAAAGCCTGCTTCTGCCAGAAAGAGGGAGTCCCAGGTGCTGGTGTAGCTTTGTGAGTGTCATGTCCAGGTCCCGGTCATGAGTGTCATGACCCGTCTGGGTCCTGCCCTGGCCTTTCCTGTCCCTTTTTTCTCATGTGTGCTTTTGGATGATAAATGCATGCTGTGTTAGGAAGATCAGAGACTTCCCAATGGGTGCCTGCAGCTTCAGCATTTGAGGAGACCATTTTTACATCTTCCCAAGCCCTGTCACCATGTGTACTCTGTGTGCATTAGTGGTGTTTGAGCCATGCATCTGGCTGTGCTCATTCCTAAATTAACTTGATGTAACATAGAAAATGACTGGCATAGGTGTAAAGATGAAATTGGTTGGTGACTGTTAGCCTTCCTCTTCACTGTGACAAAACACCTAAAAAAATTAAAAGAGGAGAGGGCTGGGCATGGTGCCATATATATATAATCCCATCTACTCAGTCGTGGTTCCAGTCCAGCCTGGGCAAAAAGTTACCAAGATCCCATGTCAGTGCTGGTTAGTTGGGCATGGTGATCTGGTACCCATCATCCCTGGTGTAAATAAGAGAAGCATTGGTAGGAGGATTAAGGTCGAGGCTGGCCTGGCAAAAATGCAAGACCCTATCTGAAAAATAGCTACTGCAAAAAAGGACTGGGGATATGGCCAAGTGCTAGAGTGCCTCAGTCTTGCCTCACCACCCCCAACACCAATAAAACCTTTTATTTTGGCTCATGGCTTCAGAGATTTCAGTCCATGGTTGCTTAACCTGGTTGCTTTTAGATCTATGACAAAGGTAGTACATCATGGTGGGGAGCACATGATGGAACAAAGCTAATCACTTCAGGGGGTCAGGAAGCAAAAAGATGGGAAGAGCCCAGGGTCCCAATATACTGTTCAAGGGCATGCCCCAGTGCCCTGTTTCCTCCAGCGAGGCCACCTCCCACAGTGCCATCAGCTAGGGACCAGGCCTCGACATAACTCCACACTAAGCTATCACAGTGACATCCCTGTTTGGAGATGTGTATGGGGCACACTATTTATAAGAAATATTCTGTAAGCTCTTTTTTATGGCTCTGGACACCTTTTGCCAGTCATAGACAGCCTGCCATGGACCAGACCAGGAGGCAGTACTGAAGCAGTGGTGGGTGCCTCAGGACCACAGGCATCATGTGACCTAAGCAGGCTCTGCCAGACACACACATTCCCTTCTGGGCCCTCTGAGGTTTGTGGTACCATGGGACAATGACACCAACTCTCTTTACAGCATATCCACAGCAAGCAGTCGGTGTTCTTTGTCTGGGAGCTGACATGGACACGGGAGCCTCCCCCTCCTCTACATTGCCAGTTTTCTGTTGGATTTTCCCCAGCTGCTGAAGAACAGCTGTCCATCTCTTTAAAGCCCTACACTTACGAATTTCAAGTGGAAAATTTTTTTGTACGTAATATATTATTTGGAGAGTGGGATGTGGGATGGGAAAATGAAAGGTGGTATCATTTTATTATACTCTGAAATTTTAAGTGGATTCTTTGAATATAATTAAGCAGCAACTCAAGGAACACTGTTAATTCTGAGAGTAGTTGAGTCATTGGCTGTGTTCACTTTAGAAGCCCAGGTCTTCTCAGGTAACATACCCGAGGTGCATCCGCTCCTGGTGGCATCCCCAGGATGAATACTGACATTCTGTGAACCCCACAGACTCCTGTCGTCCTCACGCTCACTAGGGGACTTGGAGCCATTTTCTTTCCATTGCCGTGCCTACTCTGGAGACTGCTTTCTGAGGCACGTCTAGTTTCTTAAAGCAGAAAATATTACGGGAACTTGTCTGCAGAATATTTTCTCATAACCTGTGCTTCACATTGGTAGATCCGATCCGAGCGTGCCACTAATAATAGTGTTGAGCGTGGCTCCTGGCCCAACTGGCGTGCGTCAGCTCGCCTGACGTAGTGCTCAGCACATCCAGTGCAAGCAGGGTGCTTCATGGAGCCCCTTCTCCTTCACTTGAAATCAGCAGGTGAACTCTCCATGTGAACTTCAGAGTTGAGCAGAATCAGTAGCATAAGCATACACCTTTTTGATGTGCAGCGAATAGGAATCATCGATGTAGTGGAAGGTCTACATATGTGTGTCTAACCTGGTTTACTTACAGTACAGTAAACCAGTCAGCATGTTCCACTGTCACTTTCCTTTTCTTTTTTTTTTTTTTTTGAGATCAGGCTTCAAGGCATGTCCTTGAACTCACCATTCTCCTGCCTTTGCCTCCTGAGTGCTGGGATTACAGATGTGCATCACCATGTTGGTCTCTTTTCTGTCCCCCTGCCTTAGATTAACAGTATAGGAAGAATTTTCCTTTAGGAGAAAGTATTTGGAGCATTGCTCTTTTCAAACATGGCATTCTTGAGGCCAGAAATACTGATACCACTTTTGTTTAAACAGCTGTGTTGAGATATCTGTATTCTGTGAAGTTCACCCTTTTAAAGTGTACAGTTCAATTTTTTATGTACTCACAGTCACATAGTTCTTGCTCTAGTCTCATTTTGGAATACTTTTGTCATTCCAAAAGAAACCTTAGTCAACAGTCCCTCCCAATTCCCTTCTCACCCAGGCAGGTCTGCCTGTGGATGTGCGATTCTGAACCTTTCTTATCAGTGAAGTCATACCGTGGTGCATGATCTTTGTGACTAGCTTCTTCACTGAGCTAATGTCAGGGCTCAGCCATGTTGATGCATGGGTTAGAGCTTTGTCCCTCTGCGTGGCTGGTGACAGATGCTCCTTGTGTGAATAGACCACATGTTTATCTGTGACTGGAATCTGGTTGTTTCCACTTTGGGGCAGTTAAGAACACTGATACTAGGAAAATCTATACGTAGGTATCTGTGGGGACAGACATTTTGTTCTCCTGGGTAAACGTGTAGGTGTGGAGTCATTCAATCCTATGGCAACTCTGTGACCTTTTCAAGAAATTGCCACCCAGCATTACATTCCAGCAGCCAAGTGGTCTCTGCCTCTGCCCCGCTCACCAGCAGTTCTGTCCTTTGATTATAGCTCCCCAGGGGGTCGAGGGCCATTTCCCTGGTGGCTGCGTATGGCTTAGAGATCATCTGTGCGTTTTCTGTGGAAGAATGCCTATGCAAATCCTTTGCCCATTTTTAAATGGGTTTATTTGCCTTTTTGTCACTGGGTTATAAACTCTTTATATATCCCAGTTATCAGATCCTCACCATATATAATCTCCACATATTTTCCCCATTCTGTGACTTGGGCTCTCACTTTCGGTGGGGGAGGACAGACTGCGGTTTGAACTCAGGGCTTTACTCTGAGCAGGTGCTCTACCACTTGAGCTACACTCCAGTCCACTTTGCTCTTGTTATTTTGGAGATGGTGTCTTGAGAACTATTTGCCTAGACTGGCCTTGAACCTCAAACCTCACGATCTCAGCCTCCCAAATTTCTGTGTATTTTGAGTCATAAAAGTTTTTAGGTGTGATGAAATCTAATCACTCTTTCTCTTTTATCACTTCAACTTTTTGTCTCAGATATAAGAAATCATCACCTACTCCAAGGTAATAAATGTTTTGTCCTGATTCTTCTAAGAGTTTTATAGTCTTTGTGCTTATAGGCTAGTCTACGACTACTTTGAGTTGTTTTCTGAGCAGGAGGGACCACAGCCATGCTTTCCTTAGGAATCAACAGTTGTCCTTATGCCATTTGTTAGGAAGACTCCTTGCCTCATTGTTGAATATAAATAAACCTTTAGACTGACTGTCTGACTCCCCCCCCCCATCTGAGGTTGAACTCGGGGCAGGCATTCTACCACTTGAGCTACTCTGCCAGCTCTAGAATTTATTTCTGAAGAGGCTTATTTCTTGTCACTTATCTATGGTCTCAGCAGTGGCTGTCCAGTCAGAGATGCACCCCCTCCCCCACCCCACTGCTGCCACTTTGAAGGACCAACTCTTCCCTGTCGCCACTGGCCTCCTTCCCAGAAGCAGCAAGAAAACAAAGTGCAAGGACCAGACACACTTATCAAGTACCCTACTCTGAGTTTCCTTTGAGCGTGGAGGCAGACCCACATGTGACTTTTGCTGGGTCCAGAAACATTCCAGTGTGTGTATCCCCACTGTGCACCCCTCAGGACTGGGCCTGTGTAAACGGGCCTCGCCATTCTTCTCTTCGTGGCTTTCCTTCATCCTGTTGCCTCTGCTTCATCCCCTTGGGTTGAGCAGGGTTGCTCTCCGATCAGAGTGCCAGTGCTTCACATCTGCACACTTGGGCTCCTTCGTGCCCTGTAGTCAGAAAGCTGTGGAAATGCAGCCTACAGATTGGTGGAGGTTTGTCCCATCTTTGAACAGACTTAATTGGGTGTTTCACAGGAAAATCACTAGAACAGCAGTCTGAGGACTGGGGTTTGTCCTCCTGAAGCCCCAGTGTGTCATTTGGGCATCGGGCTTTTGAAGACACTATTTTCCCACAAAATCTCTTTGAACATCTTACGTTGCCAGTGGAGCTCTGTTTGCAGTCAAGTTGTACTCTGTTATTTAATACATGTCAGGTGAAGAGGCCTCGCTTCAGAAGTGGGGCTGCCAGGGTAGGGTGTGAGCCTTTTTCAATTGGACCACTGCGGCAGATGGGTGTTGACTCTTGGCTTGTCATGAGTGGTGATAAAGTGCTGGGCCTGTGAGAGAGGAGGTCATGGATTGAATTAGACAATACCAGGGAATTCGTGTTAACTTTGCTAGTTGTGGTAATGGCATGTTCTGGTATAGGGCAAAATGACAGGTTGTCTGGAATTTGCTTTAAAATACCTCAGGCAAATTCAGAAATGTAGATGAATAGATAGATGAAGCAAACCAAGTAAAATGTTGACAGTCTTTGAATAGGGTCAGAGATGTATAGAGGATTATTGTCTTATGTTTGAAAATGTCCATAACTTAACAAAAGATTGTACGGCCCTGGTGTCAAGACTTCCCTAGCACACTGTGTCTGCAGCAGGAATTGTTTCTAGCCAATAGTTTCTCTTCTGGCCACTCAGCGGGCTGTCCTTGTGGGGCTCTTAGGTCCACAGCCGGCTCTGCCCTTACCTTCAGAGCCTTGCGTCAGGTTGCATGGGTTTATTTCCTTTGAACTTTTGTGTCCCTTCCTGTCTAGACACTGTACAGCGTGAAAGCTGAGATAGTGCCCCCTCCTGGAGCGGAATACTGTAGGACAGGCTCGCTCTGTTCCTTGGAGGTGTCCATCATGCGACTCGCTGACCTCTTGGAGGTGGATAAGGATGAAGCTCTCATGGAGTTGGACGAGTACTTTTCCACAAAGCTCATGTATGAAGGTAGGTCTCAGGCGCCCTCCTAGCTCTGTGGCGGTCCAGGCTTACGCGATGTGCCCTCTCCCAGTGTAGTGCCCCGAAAGACAGTGCTCCAGAGTGCCAAGCACTGTGTGATGGGCTCCTGTACGGCACAGCCCTGGGCTGACTGGCCATGGAACTCTTACTACAGAGCATCTTCCAACACATGTCTCTGCAGTGGTTTCGGGGCTTGGGCTGAAAACACAGTGGCACTTCTCTGTGTGGTCCACGGTCCAACCATTGCTCCTAAAGTAGCATCCAGTCCCTCTGCTCAGCAGCCAAGGCTTCCTGAACCCATCTTCTCCTCCCATTCTTTCCCAGGCCCTTTGCAGCCCTCCTCCTCAAGTGTTGGCTTCCTCAGTCCAATGCTTCTCAATGTCACTCTAAACACGATTGGCAAGCCAAGTATTTATCTACTCATTTACTTTAAAATGGCAATGGTAAACCACTGCGTGATACTAGTCTTGAAAAATAACTACATCCCAAAACAAAAAATAGTAAGTATGATGCTGTTTTACCTTCTTCCAGATCTCTTTAATGTCTGGTTTAATAGAAGGTCAGTGGATTTTCATATCTGGGCCCTGCATTCCTCTGAGATGTTACAGTGTATTAGTTGAAGTACGTGAAGACCTTGCAGCCTCACACAGACTCAATCTGGAATATGGAGGAAGGTTTTAGTAGCTTTTGGATAGTGGTAGGTGTCTTCTTTGCTACTGCACCAAAAGACTTAACAAGTGAGAGTCTTACAGACCAGATATGCCATGGCATCTGAAATCATACTTTGGCACTTATCTCATGGAATTAAATGGTCTTTGCCCAGGTATCACTCTGCAACACCATGCGTTGCTCATTTGGAAAGCCTTTTTTTTTTTTTAATCTATTTTTTTTTTGGTGGCATGGGGGCTTGAACTCAGGGTCTCATGCTTGCTAGGCAGGTGCGCTACCACTTGAGCCACTCCACCAGCCTCATTTGAAAAACCTGATTTCCCATTATGCATGTCTTCCAGATATGGACTTGTTTCATTTTACAGTGTCCAGAACTTTGAGAGGCTTACCCAGAGAGTCTGAGTACACAGAGGCAAATGCAAGCTTTCCAAAACTCCAATTTTTGCTTGATGTCTCAGATTGTGTCAGTTTTGACAAAAGCTGTTGGCTGTTTTCTCTGAAGTGACAGTCTTACTCCATTCATTTTTCATCTTGAAAATGAATGTCTGCCAAACACCAAGGCCAGTTGCCCACAGTTTGTCAGTCCTTGTTTGAGGCGAAGAATGTTCTGTGGAAACAGCAGCCAGTCAAGCACAGCATGCACACTTCCTCCTGTTGGGGCTGTCATCTTGCAGCAGAGGTGGTTATGTGCACATCACCCATCTTCACAAAGAAGGCTACAACCACCTCTGCTCCAGTGCCTTGCTGCTGAGTGGTCACACAGACTGGTCCCCAGACAGGGGCATACCACTCTGCGGTAAATCATAGTGAACTTAAGGTACCTGCGGTGTGTGGGCTGGATCTCAAGAGCATTATAACTTATCTGATGAGGTTGCATACTGTATTATGTTATTCTCAGAGTGACACTGACAAGAACTGGAGAGGGAGGGAGGTAGCACACAGTGAGAAATGCTGATAGGCCCAACTCTGAGTGCTTGCAGAAGTCAGCAAGTCTGTGTGGGCTGCTGTCTGGTCCCTGAGTCATGCCAGGGTTGGTTTCCTGTTATTAGGTGATCAGCATAGCTAGACAGGCTGGTGACAGGGACATGGGACCTCTTTCACTCTTTGTGCAGCTTCTACTAAATCCGTAAACACTGCACAGTTGAAACGATTCTTTCTCAAACTGGATTTAATTGTCAGTGACTCTGACTGCCTCTTCATTGAAGACATTCTGAAATCAGGTTGGCAGGTGTTCCCTACCAGTCCAAGGTAGTGAAGAACATGGAGGGCACAGTGGTGAGTGCAGTCCGTGCCTCCATTTGTGTTGCCTCTGGGTGGTTGGGCTGACGTGAGCACTGGGCAGAGGCAGCAGCCGGGAGATGGTTGTAAGCTTGGTGTTCACTGCGGGCTGCATGCCGAGACCTGCTGCTGGGCCTCTGTCTGTCCTGCTTGCTTCTTTGCTGCCACTGGCTTTCTGGTCATACACTGCCTGGTGCCCCTGGGACAGTAAGCTGTGTCCTCCTTGCTGCTTGTCTCCTGCTTGAAGGCAAGGTCCTGTCCTGCTTGTTGCCTCTCTGGCGCCAGGCTGGCCCTGATCAGTGTTCGCTGGGGTGTTAGAATTGCATTGGATTAGGTGGAGGTTGTGTTTTAAGATCTGACATCAGCAGCCCATTGTCAAGTCTCCCTCCGTGATGCCTGAGGATGGTGCCTATAGTGTGTGTGCACTGACTCCTCTGCTCCTTGAGTAGCAGCCACGGGGTTTGTGGTGTTCTCTTCACCAAGGGGGCTTGGTGAGGGCAGGGGTAGGCCCAGACTGTGTTCCTCAGCTTCCTGTTGCTGTGACAAAATACCTGAGAAAATCAATTTAAAGGAGGAAAGGCTTATTTTGGCTCACTGCTTCAGAGGTTTCAGTCCATGGTCAACTGTTAACAGTCCTGTGTCGGCAGAATGTCATGGTGGAAGAACATATGGTAGAGGAGGCTGCTTACCTCACAGTGACTAGGAAAGAAAAAAAGAAAGAAGAGAACAGTCCGGGGACAAGATGTACCCTGCAGAGGCACGTTCCCCGTGACTAACTTCAACCAGGGTCCACCTCCTGACAGCCCATTCAGTATGAACTCATGACTGCATAAATGCATTGGAGGTTATTGGCCTCATGATTCGATTACCTCTTAGCACCAATGGCTGGGGACCCAACCTTTAATACAGGGGCCTTTGGGGACACTTCATATCCAAACCACATGCAGACCATTGGTCTTTATGCTGTACTCGTCAACAGGGCTTCAGTGCTGTCACCACCTGGCCTTGTTGAATTAGGCATCTTTTATCCAGAGAGAAGGAGTGGTTTTCCATATGCATTCCACATGATCCAGTCTAAGTACAACCAATTCAGTGCTGGACTAAAAGAAACGATGTCTTGGATATTAACATGCATATTTTATCCAAGGTGCGGTTACATGAGACGTATGAGCCCCAGTTTGGGGCTCTCCGCTGCCGAGTGTGGGAGTATCGGAGAATGATGGCTCTTTCTTTGGTGTGGCACTGAGTGGCCTGTTCTTCCTCGTTTCAGTTGTCGACAACAGCAGCAACTGGGCAGTGTGCGGAAAAAGCTGTGGCGTCATCTCCATGCCCCTGGCTGCTCGGGCCACTCACAGAGTCCACATGGAAGCGATGCCTCTCTTTGCGGGTTACCTGCCCCTGCCCGACGTCCGGCTGTTCAAGTACCTCCCCCATCATTCTGCTCACTCCTCCCAACTGGATGCTGGTAAGGACTGTGTCAGATAAAGTACAGGTGCTCCTCAACTTACAATGGGTCATGGCCCATCAGCCCATCATAAGTCAGTGCCCCCCAATATCCTAATGTAGTTTCGCCTACTTAAACAGCCCAGAACGCTCTTTAGCTAGCAAAAGGGCCGATCATCCCACACAAAGCCTGTTTAAAATAAATGGTAGCTCATATCACACACAGGTAGACATAATGACATTTGAAAACACGAAGACGCTGGCAGCACAGTGCACTTAGTGTTGGTTGCTTCTCCTGCATGGATCAGACTGCGTGTGTACTGTACTGCCAGCCTGGAGATCAAAATTCAAACTCCAAGTACAGTTTCTGCTGAATACATATGGCTTCTGTGCCATTATAGTGTGAAAAAAAAGTCATAGGTGGGAGCACCGTGTGTCAGTCAGGCCCCTGCATACAAATGCAGTATTCAAGTGAGCAGGAACTTAATGCAGAGTGGTAATAAACTATTGTGCAGAACAGATTCGAGAAATAACCACACACTTTCAGTACCCATAGAAACTAGCACCTAAAACCTAGTCTGTTTTCACCTGCCCTGAAGGCCAGGGCTCTCTGCTACAATGCTCTCTGTAAAGGCAGTGCCTTGGGGACACTTCTGCACCCAAAAGTCAGCTCAGGGTGGCTTTGCACCTCTGAGCTAGCAGCGCTGAGGCTTGGTCTAACTTCCTGTGTGTTCTGCAGACAGCTGGATAGAAAATGACAGCCTGTCGGTGGACAAGCATTTGGATGACCAGCTGGACTGCGGCAGCATGCGGAGCAGAGGCAGTGTGCACTCGTCCTCCAGTGGTGAGCCCAAAGGCTTGCCCATGCCCCGGCTCCAGGCGCTGCCCGCTGGCCAGGTCTTCAACTCCAGCACTGGAACGCAGGTCCTGGTCATTCCCAGTCAAGACGACCACGTCCTGGAGGTCAGCGTCACATGACAACACCAGGTGTCAGCCAGTGCCCAAGAGTGGCTTTATGTGCACTTTGGGGATTGCAGCTGGATTGCTCTCTGTTGTAATATGCTAGCTCTAGCCATACTTTGGCGATGCTGCCTGGCCATGGAGGCATCAGAGGACCGTGTCGCTCAGCTGATCAGCAGAGTACAACATCCTTTCATGTTGTCTGTGACAGAAGACTCATTGTTACTTTCTCATCCCTGTCCCTTTGCTGGTGTCCAGCAGAGTTTCTCAGAGCCCCAGCTTCCTTCACTCACTCACTCACTTGCTTGCTGCTCCTTAAAGACTGCCATCCTTGATCTCTTCATGGCACAGCCTCCCTTCTGTGTCTGCTGGCTCTGTGCAGGTTCAGTTGTCTTCAGGTGGATACTCTGCAGGTTTGCAGTCTTATGACACTCTGTGCACCTTTGGTCACATAGCTGCCCAATTCCTCTACTGGGAGGACTTTGAGGGTCTCCTTCAGTTAACCTCGCTGTGCTTTTCTACAGTAACACCTTTTGGGGCAGGTGGGTGGGGATGTGGGGTGGGGTTGGGAAGAAACCTAACTCCTTCTGTGCCTTGGGATGCCAGACCTGGGTGGATGGTGATGTCCACTGCTGGAGCCACGCTAAAGGTAGTTCAGAAAGACGATCAGGCATAAGGCACAGCGCAGTGATGGAAATGGTTTAGGAATACATGTTTCTGCATCCCTGCTCCCTAATGTTGAATGAATATCATATGCACTTGGAATTAAAAATCTATTTATTTTAATTGTCACATACATGGGTTAATGTTTGCTTTTCTCTCACTTTTAAAGTCTGTACATGTAGCTATATAATTTTTGCACCTTAAGTCTTAGAAGTTAAGACACTCCATCTAAAGTGAAGACTAGAAGGGTCCCAATGGTATGTTCTAGTCTGGAACTGGGAAGAACTCAGGGCCTGGAGTAACCTCTGCTGGTCCACTTGGTTGCAGTCATACCGTACCAACGGATTAACTTACTTTTGGTTGTAAATTTAATTGTACATATGGTTGATTTATTATTTTTGAAAGTACAGGCTAACCAATGTAATGTTTATGTATAAGTTGTACCAAAAATCAAGAACAAAATAAATGTGTGTTTGTTTTTACTGGTGTGAAAATCACAGCTTGTAAATACATGTTGTATGTATTAAACCTTTTCAGCTCTCCAAAGTGATGTATTTTTGTACATATGAAATAGAGTGGTCTGAATTCACAGATATGGTGTGCTTGGAATGGAACTTGACGAGGTTCGTGTAAGCAGATGTTGGGTCCAGCGGAGGGCAGGGCCTCTATGAGGAACCAAAGGCGCCTTCTTCAGCTGCTGACCCTGCCGAGCACCATGCTCCCAAGCCTGGGTCCTGGGAGTCAGGAGCACAGACAGAAGCCAGGACAGCCAGGAAGTCATTTCAGTGTTCTGTATGTTGACTTTTCACTCATTCAGCAAATAAAGGTGGTGTGGTTTTTTTCTCCTCATGTCTTCTTCATTTGTAGAAATTGGAGAAGTGAGTAAAGATAAATATGTATTTACTTTTAAAGAATTTACTTCCTTATGTGCAGTATAAAAACTTATAAACTTGGTCAAACTAATTAGGCAAATTAGAACTTCAGACTCTAATGAAAGTTTACAGGCCTCTGAATGATTATCTCATAGACCTGCCAAGCCCATGAATGAAGAAATTGAGATTTAATTCTGTCAAAAGCCCTTCCTCCATGCTGGCAGCCTTCCTCCATGTGCGGTATACTTCGTTCACCTTCAGGAGAAAGAATGGGATCATTCTTGTTTCTGAGCGCTCAGGGTGAATTTTTCTAATTGCATACATGTAGAGGAAGTGAACAAAGAGGAAATCCAACATGACTTTGGTAGTTTCTTAATATCTGGAAATTGAATGAAATAAACTCGATCACAGGTTTTTCCCAAATATCCAGAATATCTTTTGCAAATTAAAATAAATGAATACATCTGCCTTTTTTCTTTTTTAAGGTTACAGTCACCTGTGTTTCTTAACACTCTCCATAAGGGTAAAACTAGAAGGCTGTCATTGGGTTTTGTTGTAAGATTATTGTTTGAGACAGGCTGGTTTCATTCATAAATGTTGGAATGTGAAGCCAGATTTGGAATGTGTGTAAACGCAAAGGCTATGCAGACATTTTGCAGATAACCTGTAGAGCATGTAAACATGAGCAAATGGATAAAGAAAATCAGTTATAATTTTTGTGAATTTCATGGGGGTCACCTGTGATTATAAAAATTATAACTCCTTTGATTCTACCTGCAGTTCCACTGTCTGAACAGCCTGCAGTGGGTCAGATTCCTGTATTAATAAATCTTAGTTGACAAGGATAGTACTCCCATGAAGAGTTTATACAGTGCTTCTCACTTTTTCGTCAGTGTTTAAGACTAAATTTTAAACTGAAATTAAACATGCCAGGTTTATATCTAAAATAGCAAAGCTCCACTACTTCTTATAAAAGAACTGACTGGAGCTGGACTTGGTAATTCACACCTGTAATCCCAGCACTCTAGAGGCACAGGCAGAAAGATTGAGAGTCCCAGGCCAGCCTGGACTGCTGGGGCCAGCTTGGCTCTTCCTGGGATTTACTATGTCTGGTATTCACCTTGGTTTCCCCGTTCTGAGTCTATAAGCAGCTTTATGCTAGCTCTACAAAGTTGCAAGCCTTCAGCTAGCTCTGCAGTGTTTTCTGTAACTGTGACCACATTCTGTAGGGGTGGGAGAAAAACTGTAAGTATTTAACCCAGCTCCTGACACAGATCGGGGCTCAGGGCTTTGAGAAATTATCTCCCCTGAGTCCACTAGCATAATAAACTCCCTGCTTCCTGTGAAAATGGTCTCAGTGACTTTGTTTCCCTCACCATTTCCCGCAACATTTCTGGTGCATTGGCTGGGAATGGAAGAGAGACCAAAGTTGGCATTTTTGCCTCCCTGGCTGTCAGGCTGTGGCCCAACTCCTGGGGATGCAACCAGCCAAGGCGCCACTGGACACTTAGTCTAGATGACTAGGGAAGCCTCCCATGGAGATGAGGCCTCGGGTCTGTACACGCCAACAGAACCTGGATAGAGACCTCAGGAACCAGGACAATTTGGAGTGGTGCCCCATCTGGAACAGGTGGGACCTGGGTCCATCAGAATAGGCCCACCCATGAGAGGATGGAAGAGGGGCATGATCAACCCCTAGGTGCCCACCCATACCCTTGAATCTGGTTTTTTGTTTTGTGATTATTCAGGGGAAAGCTGGAATACTTTCCAGAGTAGGTTTGTTGGGTTAGGTGAATGTGTGATGTGCAACTGAGAACATGAAAGGAGTGTGACTTTGGTCACCACATGGTGTGCGGAGTCTTGTTTCCAGAAGCCAGAGACACTCTCATTTGATCTAAGGCAACCCCCCATGGGTCACCAGTCCAGGGTCCATATGGACTTGTTATGGCTACGAGATGTCTGAAATACGCCACAAGGAGAATGGCTAGGGATGGATGTAGTGAAAGTTGTCTGTCTTCCCTTTATGTCAGAAACTGAGGACCCTGTACCTCAGTTCCAAATCCCTGATCCTCTTGTACCTTGTCTCAATATGGATGGGAGCCAAAGCAAAAAGACTTCTTTACAATGTATGCTTGACAACTTCAAGAGAGAGTACACAGGTGATTACAGGTGGAGCTCACACTCTAGAAAGTGGAAATTCTGTCAAATAGGTTGGGTGTCCTTTGACGTTGGATGGCCTTCTGAGGGATCTCTAGATCGAGAAACCATTTGTAGAGTCTATCAGGTAGTGAGTGACAGGGACTCCAGGTCATCCTGACAAGTTCCCCTACATAGACATATGGCAGACATTGGCAGCTCAACCCTCTCCTTGGCTTAAGAAATGCTTTAAAGCCAATTGTAAGATTATGATGGCAAGGGCAACAAATACTGGGACTGTTAAATTAAAAAAGAAAAGGCTCCTCCCCCAGTGTTCCAGACACTCCTCAGCATGGAGGAGTGGAGACGGGTCATCCAGGCAGCCCTCACTGGCCTGGGGCTCAGGCCCCCAATTAGACAAATGGTATGTGAGCCTATGCCCAGACGGCCTTTCCAGAAGCTGAACCTGCGTGGGACCCAAATGAAACAGAAGGCTAAGACAACTTACATAGAGGCTCTGATGGCAGGTCTCAGAGAAGGGGAAGAAAGGCCATGAACATGAACAAAGTCTCAGAGATCTTCCAGAAGCCTGAAGAGAGCCCAGCACAGTTCTATGAGAGACTATGTGAAGCATACCATCTATATTCTTCAGTCCTGAGGCTCCTGAAAATCAGCAAATGAGCAATGCTGCCTTCGTGGGAGAAGCCCAGGGGGACATTAGAAAAATTAGAAGGATTTGCAGGCATGAATGCATCCCAGCTCCTGAAAGTGGCAACTAAGGTGTTTGTCAACCGAAACCAGAAGGCCCAAAAGGAGGTGAAATGAGAAAGAAAAAGGTAGATCCCCTGGCAGCAGCAATGAACAGATGGGGAGGGCACAGTTCCAGTTGGGGTAGAGGCCAAGAAAGAGGCAAAGCGGTGCCCCCAGGAAACTCCCCGCAAGCACGGCCCCAGTGATCAGAGCCCCTAAAGAAGAATCAATGTGCCTTCTGTTACCAAGAGGGACACTGGAGGAATGAGTGTCCACAGCTCCAGCCCAGGTGCAGAGAGACAAAGAGAAAGAGGACTTTATGGAGCCTGCAGGCATTGAGCGGGCCAATGATTAGAGTCGACCTAGCTCTTTCCTCCTCAGCCCCCAAGAGCCCATGGTCCATATGTCAGTAGGGGACCAACCTGTACATTTCATGGTGGACACTGGTGCTAAACATTTGGTGATGACCTGAAGGGTGGCACCAATTTCAAAAAGATACCAGACAACTGTGGGTGCTATGGGGACACAGACCTGCCACCCATTTCTCCAGCCCTGAAAATGTGCTCTTGTGACTCATGAGTTTCTTATATACCAGAACATCCAGTGGCACTGATGGGCCGAGACCGGCTAAGTAAGCCAGGCCCAAATCAGTCTTCAGGAGCATGGACAAGCAGCTTTGAGCTTTGGCTCAGGGCCCCTGGGGTCTTAGCCCTCATCACTCCCCAGGAAGAAGAATGGAGATGACATTCAGTAGAAACTGCCTTAAAGGGGCCGGAGATTCCCTTTGAGGTGCCAGGAATATGAGCAGAAGACAATCCTCCAGGGCTAGCCATCAACATTCCTCCAATGTAACAGAGATAAAGCCGCGAGTCACTCCAGTAAGAATGAGGCAATACTCAATCCTGATGAGGGCACAAAAAGGGGTATTCTGTCACCTCCGGAGACTCTTAAACTATGAAATCCTGAGACACTCATTTCAGGAATCTGCCTGGAACACTCCCTTGCTGCCAGTTCAGAAGCCAGGCACCAATGATTAGTATCCAGTGCACGATCTCTGAGCAGTCAGTTAAGCAGCAGTGACTCTGCACCCACTGGTTCCAAACCTGTACACTGCTGGCCCTGTTACCAGCAAAAATAACCTGTTTCTCATGTTTGGACTTAAAAGATGCATTCTTCTGCATCCAGTTGGCACCTGTGAGCCAACTGCTTTCCAATGGGAAGACCCACAGTCAGGGGGACAACAGCAATTAACCTGAACCCGTCTCCCACAGGGCTTCAAAAACTCCCCAGTCATCTTTGGAACTGCTCTGGCTCAGATTTGCGAGCATACCCAGCAGAGGAAGCTGGCTGCACACTCCTTGCAGCAGCTAACCACCAAGACTGTCTTAAAGGGACAGAGCTCTTACTCAGTCTCATGAAAAGCTGGATACAAAGAAAGAAGGCTCAGATGCGTCAAGACCTAGTCAAATATTTGGGGTTCCACATCTCCCAAGGCCAGCAAAACCTTGATGCAGGAAGAAAAATAAGCCGTCTGCTCAATTCAAACTCCAACTACAAGAAAACAGATCCGTGAGTTCTTGGGAGTGGCTGGGTTCTGCCAGATTTGGAAACCTAATTTCTCATTGCTAGCAAAGCCTTTGTATGAAGCCATAAAGTGGGGAAAAGGGAGCCCCTAATCTGGGAGTCTGAATAACAGGATTTCTGTGCCATCAAGGAGGCAATAGTCAGTCCCCCTGCTCTGGGACTCCCAGATGTGAGAAAGCCTTTCTTCCTCTATGTGCATGAGAGAAGAGGCATGGCAATTGGAGTCCTGACTCAATATCTGGACTCATGACATCGCCAGTGGCTTATCTCTCCAGGCAATTGGATTCAGTGGCAAAGGGATGTCCTCCTCCCTGCCTGTGAGGTCTTGTAGCCACAGCTTTGCTGGTATCAGAGGCAGAAAAGCTAACACTGGGAAGGGAGATAACTGTCAGGAGACTCGCCTCACTTGAAAATAGATCTTGCCATTAGCTTTACTTAGGATCAGGTGCAGCCCCACCAAACAAACTGGGTTCTCACCCTATGAGATTCTCTATGGAAGGTCATCCCCCACCCCCTAGTAAAAGGCATTAAAAGAGATTAAAAAAAAAGAAGAAGAAGAAAGAAAAGAAAATCTAACCTTGC